CATGTAACATCCCCAATTTCCGTCTCTCCACATCCTTCCCAAGCGACTCTCTGCTGTGTTCCAGCTGGGTTCACCAGCTGGACTGCACAAGCTCTCACCAGTCAAAAGTCAGGCGCACGGAGTCAGTTTGCTGTGCAAAACAGCATTTTTTTCCCCCCCCAACCAATCTTCCAGCTAAACAGTTTTGCTTTAAAAAAGCAGAAACATGCGACGGCTTACGCGGCTCCGGGTTACAGGCAGAGCCCAGCATTCGAAATGCCTGCACCCTTTTACGGGAGACCTTGATGATGACTCTCTCACCATGCTTACATTTGACTGGCTCTACTCTTCTGCTTGCTGTCTGCACCGATGTCTGTAGGCCAAAGGAGGGCCTTTCCAAAAAAATCACACGCACAAAGTGGCGACAAATGATGGAACAGGAGCGATGCGGACCCCGATAGCCCCCAACGCTCCTGTGCACAGCACACCTACATAAGTACAGGGTAGGGCAGCCTATAACCAGGACTGGGAAAGTCCCATTGCGCAGGGGTCTGCGGGGGACCCCTGCTAATGCATGTCATCCTCAAAGGGGAATTACACTTCTGATTTAGCAAATGCTATGTAGTGGCATTTTCTAACATAAATTGCAAGGAAAATAAATCACTACAGGGATTTATAGCCAAACACACACAAGAAAATAATAAATATAAGATTTACAGACAGTTGAAACTAGGCATACTAGGCACTGGCAATATATAGTACAGACACATTAGGACACACTATAAAAAGAAAAAGATTGACATTTCTCAACACAGAAAACCCTGATTAACTTGGACTTGAACCAAGGCATTTTGACTACTGTTAGTACCAAGTGCTATGCAATTTTGGCCTTAAAAAGTTTAACGCTCTCAATAATTACCGTTTAATTCTCAAGTAAAATTCCTGGTGCAGCGGAAATCAGCAAGTTCACTTCGTAGCCATTTTATCTGGCTTCTTGTTAACGTTCCACTCTTCCATCATCAGTAACTACAACCCAATAAAGCAGCAAACACACACAAACAGGCTCCCTTTCCCGCTCGCCGTCCTTTGTTTACAAGTATACAAACAGTGAAGAGCGCTAACCCTCTTCAGTAAGCAGCAGGACGTACTTACTCAATCTTTATGAAACAGAAAGGATTCCATTCATATAGCAGCTAGTGAGGGCAGAGTCCACAATCAGAATACATAAAAAATGACGACCAAGCTGAAACAGTGTCCCCATGCACCATTTTATCAATATTCACTCATCGTTTCATCAAACTCAGTCACAACTCCACTGGCAGCTGGTAGATTTAAGGGTTGTTTTTTTTTTGGAGGAAACTGAGATAAACATGTTCCTGTAGATGTGAATGCAGCTTCGGTCTGAACGGCCTTCGACAAATAAAGCAGATTGTCACGACCATTTGATTTCACACAGTGAGGAATGGAAGCGACGCGGAAAGCAGGGAAGCACAACTCAATTACCCAGTCAGTGCCACCGATCTCCACTGGCCAAATAGCGGGCAAACGTTTCAGGTGATTTCAAGACAGCAAAGGGAAAACAGAATTACACTGAAGTAAAATGCATACTATATGAAAAGGTATGGGCATGTAAATAATTAACATAAGTCTCTAAATGAAACAGAGCCCTTTGAAATATTCACTTTACCACATGGCAACTTTAGGGCTGACAAGCTGCTGTGTATTCTTGGATATATGCTTAAGAGTGTTTTCATTTGTATCCCACATAATTTAATATAGCTTATATAATATCATTTATATAATAAAGTATTTATTTACATTTTATTAGAACAGGCCGTAGTTCTTCATTGTCACTGTTTAGATTTATTTTATAGTTAGCAAAGTATTCAAAACAGTGCACAGTACTCAGAATAGAGAAAGTGATCATCAATGAACTAAAAGCCAGCTGAAAACGTCTGGAATAACTAATAACAACTAAAGGCTGCCCATATTCAATCCTAGTATGTTTCAGAGAAACAGGATTGCAACCTGGTCATCTGCAGACCATCACAGGTTTTTATAAAACTTTTCGAACCTAGGAAACTCTAGGTGGGCCTTTATGGGCATAAAATAGCCTTTAAAAAAGAATTTAGCACGATGTTTCTATGTAAATCTGTGCTGGAATGACATACGAGGAAAATGTCGGAAGCAGCTGTCCCTCTACACAAAGTCCATGTCCTTGAGAACTGAGTACAGATTTAAAGCAGACACATCTACATCATACAACACCAACATCAACTGATACATGTGATTCCTATATCGATTGCTGTTTTGTTTTTTTTTTTTGTGTGTGTTTTTTTACAGGTCCATCATCACTTACATACATTCAACATAAAAAGGCTACAGGTTATCAATGAAATAGCTGGTTATCAAAGGTCATAATGCCCACCCCAACCCCCACCCACTCTTAAACAGATCAAATATTCTTTTATTGTACAGTAACGGCTTCATAAAAATACAGACATCCCCATCGTTATGATTCATAGCTTTACAACGTCATTAAAGCATCAATATTTTCCACTTGCACATTACACAACAGGACAGTACCTAACACTACTCAGACTCTGATGCGATAGACATGGAAAAAAAGGCTTAAAATGAAATTCACTTATTAAGGCTTGATATGAGTCATATTGTGTGTCACACATTTGCAAAACCAAGTTTAAAAATTGCCTTTACATTGCTTCAATGTTGCAGTATGTTACAGGCCAGTATTGTTTCCTTCATTTTGTTAACTTAGCTAAAGCTTTTACCCATTTATACAGCAGAATACTTTACTACAGTGATTGAAACAGAAGGGACCCTCCAAACAAGCTTCAAGTTATTAATCCCTGTCTTAAAATAATGCTTTTGTCATTCCTCAAACTGAAAAATGGAGGATCATAGACGACATGCAATAAATAATAAATCAGTACCAGGGCTCCTTATTTGTGTGAAGACAATTAAAATGTACAAACAGTTGAATAAAATACAAATCCTTAAAAAGCAAATATTATGCTTTGCTTCTTATATTCTGGTTGATTTCAAAAACAACAGAAATCCCGGTTACATATTGGCCTTGAATATTGAGAGACAGAAAACATGAACGTGACGAACACTGCATTTAGGAGGAGTTAGCTACTGAAGGGCTTAAGTAGCCCATACACAGGAATTACTCATTCAGACGCAACTTAAAGCTGACTTTTCATATAATTTACAGCTACTATAACAAACACACACTGAAAAAAAGGCAGCTTGCAAACTCACTAAGAGAATATGAGCCATAAAACACAAAAACATACATTTTCTGAGTAGTAGTGGGCATTTTAATGTATGTCTTATTGCAAAGATTAAAAACTTACATGATATGTTATCATAGAAGACAAGAAGGATTTTCCGATATTCTTTTACATAAGGAGTTATATATACCCTATTGCACTTAAAGTTTGAAAATTTATTTTAGAAACATATAAACATATATTCAAGTGTTTGGCTGGGTTGATGAATTGCACACGTAGGAGAGGAAAAAAACAGATGAGCACTCATTATGCGATTAATGTGTGCAGTATATTCTCAAGAAACACCACAATTTGGAAAAGTTTTTAAGGAACTTAAGGAACTTGACTTATTATGTCCATGTATAAGTTCTTGGTGTTGTGTATGTTCCAAAAGTATCAGAGGATAGTTTAACTGCCCATTGACTCTGAAATAAAGACAGTGTCTGTTGTGGTGCAGTACTTGCATATGGCGTAAGTCGTTAACGATCCCCTCACTCAAAGCCAAGGCCAGTCAAGATGACACACCCAAAATCTACTCATCCATATCAATCCGCCAGTCCAGCAAACATTACCTTCACACAAGCTTGGACTCATACATGTGAACGAATATGTGATGTTTCCATCTGATTCCAAACGTTTATATTGGTGCAATCAACATATTTATCATTTGGAAATTCTCACATCAAACTGCTTTGTGCTATTGGCCACAGAAGGCGCAGGATTTCTGATTTATCAAAAGACCAAACACAAACAGGACATACCATTTCTGTATCAAAGGACTTCTAGGAACTGCACTTATCAATACCAAGCCTGCGTCGGTCTGCAGGCCTGTTTTTCGTCTTCAATTGCAGACATAAATCATAGAGATACCTGTCAAAAGAGACCTCAGGTTGCAGCATACACATATAATAAAGTATAACGTTGTCCCAATTATTTAAGCAGATTTAGATTATGGACAATCAGTTGGCCAGATTCAAGGTGTGAGGGACCATTATTTTCATATTCAGAAAGGGACAGTCGACTGTATTTAACTGTAAATTATCCACAGCATATTAGTTGAAAGGAAACTATACCGGCTTTAAAACTGATATCAAAAGGAAACCTAATGAACTGGTTTGGCCAAATGTGACTTAATACACAATGGTTACACAAGATGGTGGTGTTCTATACTGCATGTAGCGAGATGGGTACCATTCCATAGCTGTCACCAGAGACAGGCACAGAACAGATTGGCGGTAAATATACTGCAGTACCTCTTATTAATACAACGCTGACCCATTCCCCAGGGTCCAACATACAAAAATACTTTTCGGTGAATCATAAATAAATGGGAATATAAATCACTGCCTGGCTAACTGCTGTTAGCTGGCAAGCCGTTTCTTGATGAATTTTACTGAAATAACCCAACAGTCAGGGTTTCACTGTCAGCTGTTTTTAAAAAAAGAAGTGAAAGAGAATAGACCAAACCAAAAAAAAAAAATGGAAAAACATTCATTCCTAAAGCAACATGCATACAAACGCACACAGATACACATACATGTGCATTCACAGACATGGATATGGCTTCTGAAGTTGGAATCAAGGCAATTAAATAAATGGCATTTTCTTTACACTTTTTTCTTAGTTAACATAGATACAACTCTACTTTGTGTTCAAGCTCAGCTTTGGTCTGGAGAAAATACAATTAAGATTCCTCATTTTTTTTTGTTACAAATCGATTTAAGATCGACCAGCGGTCTAAAACACTAATAGTTTTTTTTTTTTCCCTTTTTCATTTTTTAAACAATACTAAAATTACAGCATCATGAGAAGGACACAGTTGTTGAGCTACCACTGACTGCAGGAAAGGACACATTAAACCATAGTTGCAAAGCATTAGTTTGCCTAAAGCAGGTCCCTGATTTTACATTTGTTCCAGCTCCAGCCAGTTTGCATTGTTTTAGCACTGCGCAGTGTGTGCAGGATATATCAGTTATGATGCATCGATGCATGTGCGATGAGGGAAGCGTTTTATTTACTGAGGCATCAAGGCAGAATGGGGGAAGCGCAGTGACTATGTGTCTGCGTGGTGGCTTACGAACAGACTATCTGCATTAATCCGTTTAACGATTATACTTGTGTAGACTTTGTGTTTTCACTAATATCAGTCCATCGTTCCTCTTGTCCCGCACATCCCCACAGATTCATTAGTACATTCAGACAGTGAGATTCAAGGCTGGGGGCTCAGTAAGAGAAAGGCGGCTGTTAAGGTCACGTATTCAAAGCTACGCTGCCCAGGTCACAAGTTGGACGACAGCCTGTGTCTCGCAGTGTCTGTCTCAGGAAGGCAGGTGGAGGACTCTCTCCTGGGGGCCCCGGAGTCTAGCTGGCTGGGGCCGGGGGCTGCCCCCGTCCCAGTGGGTGTGCCGGGGAGGGAAGGGGATGGGATGGGAGTCGTCAGAGACACCTGATGGGACAGTGACACCCTGTGCTGCATGGGGCCTTTGACTCCCGAGGACCCTGGTGTGACAGGCGGTGCCCCAGCAGGCGGCCCGATAGACATGGAGGAAACACAGGCAGATTGTGGAGGGCTGGGACCCGGCTGAGGGCCCCCCTCCTGGGGGAGCGAGAGCTGCGAGGCCGACAGAACCGCAGCATCGGGGCTCACGCCACCAGCCCGGTGGGAGATGGGCCGCTGTGCCAGAGAAAGCTGGGAGCCCGACGGCATGCCGCCCAGCGGGCTGCCGCTGTATTGGAAGGTCCGGGCCGCTCCCCCAGCAGCCAGCGGGCTCTGAACAGGCGGGCTGGCGAGGGCCGATGCAAAGGCGCCGCCCGGCAGGGGCGGCTGGGCCCCGAGCGGAGACATGGACATGGGGCTGGAGATGCCCGGCACTACCTGAAAGCGCCGCGCCACGCGTGGCGACTGCAGGGTGCTGGGGCCCGCCAGCGGGCACACCATGGGGGGGCAGAAGCTGAGGGCCACGGCCTGCTGCAGCGTGCCGATGGCAGAGCCGGGCGGCGGGTGACCCGGCGGGGCGAAGATGCCGCCGTGCACGGGCGGGGTGCTGGACAGGGCGCGCGTCTGCTGCAGGTCCACGGGCTGCACCATCTCCCGGTCGTACTTCACGATCTCCTGGATGAGCTCGTTTTCACGGTTGTTGAACACGCCGGAGTTCAGGTCGTGCTGGACCTTGTGCATCAGGATAGAGTTCTTCTTTCCTGAAGAGCAGAGTCACATATCATTAGCTGTTTCCAGAGAGAAGCGTTTGACATCAATACACATTAAGATCAAATGAAAATGATCCTGTTGTATACCAAGGGTTTCCTTCTGTATACATATATATACTCTATTCATCAGCCAAAGTGGCTGGTTTTTAAACATTGTATATTTCGGCCGACAGCTATCTGATAATTCAGTTATACCAGCCTGTTTTGATGCAACCATGACTCCAAACCTTGAATCTGTAAACACACACATATACATCTGCCGTGTGCTTGACTACAGAGGAAGTCCGCAAAGCAGCAGAAACCTGCAGCCTAAAAGCCTCTCCGTAGAAGACCCCCCCCCCCCTGCAAAACACACACCCGGGAGCACCAGTCTCTTAAAGGGGACACTGCCCGTTTTTTTCTGCTGAGTCATTCCGAGACTGTGTGCTTGTACGTGTACGTGTTCTCCTGTGCTTCGTATGGCAAATTTCGACAAAATGTCCACACAAACACAGCAAGACCTAAGAAAAAAAGCATTTGCGGGGAAAGTTCATTTATTCAAAAAAACTTTTTAAACGTTACGAATTTTGTGAGATTTCAAGCTAAACGAAAGGCGGCGGGACATGTTGGGGTGTGTATATACTGTATACGTGTGCTTTCATACACACACAGATGTGTATAATGTCTCCGTATTTCTGTCAGTCCATGTGCCCTGCAAAGGCATTCGTGTTGAAGGTCTTCTCTGAAAATACACTGTAAAGTCAGCTGGTACACAATCAAAATATAGCAAAAAAAAAAAACTTTTATAGTGTACTGGAACATCTATTTTCAATCTATATTAAGTCCCAATCTAATATTAGGTAAGATGAACTTCATTCATCCAAGGAGGTAATTCCTTCACATACAGCAGCAAGGTATGTAAAGTACAGACAGGCAAACATCTCAGTCAAAACGCGTAAATTTCATGCATTGATATTGCAACTGTGCAACAGCTGACGAATAAGTAACACAGCAAAAGTGAACATAACAAGTAACAACCATATGATTTGATGATGTTCACAAGGTGAAGTTTTCTCAGTTTCCTACAGACGGTACCGACTTCTGAAGACGCGTATGTTTATCATGAGCTCGAGGGAGGCTCTCTAAAACGTGCAAAAGACATCCGCAAGGCCTGCTTACCGATGCGATCGAGCCGGTCGATGGCCACGGTCTCGAAGGCCCGCCGCATCATGGGATACTCTTCCAGAACCTCGTTGAAATTGTCCACGGACAGTGAGTACAAGCGACAGTAAGTCTCTGCGCGTACACTGGCTGTACGCCTTCCCCGAGTCAGCAAGCAGATCTCTGCGACGGACAGGGGAGAGCAGTTATCCTAAGCCTGTTATGTTTCACCTGTTTTAAAAGCCCATCAGTAGGGTGCAAATAGTACTACTGTCTAAACAGTGTTCCAGTGGTATCTGTCCCTGTTCAAACTGCAACTGCGATTGTCCCCATTTGAGTCTAAATGGTTTAAAGACTGTTTTCCTATTCTAGCCCATCTTTCTTTAGAGGAAAAGCAAGAAACACATTAAAGCAGGCGGTCGTGCTGCAGCTGCAGGGATCGATCTTGGAACAGGTGTCTGCAGTGACTGCAGTGCCAAGCTGTTGATAACCTCTCCGCTCAGTGTATAAAGCCGGTAAGCCAAGCAGAGGGAGACGGACGCAGCTCAAAGGAAAACGGGATTCTCAGCAATTCTCAGAAGCATCGCTTTTTAAATAAACTACTGCGTTTTTAAAATAAGGTTTTAAAAGGGTCACTGGTCAGTAGCAGAATTTACATTATATCTGTAGGTTTAAGTTGTGTTTATTGTGCATTAAAATAACATTCTTTCCAAATAAAGCTGTTGGATGTGTCTCGAGTCTAAGCCATATTTAATAAGCCTTATCCCTCTGTGTCACGCCGCTGAGACTCGGGACACTTCAGCATGACATCCCCTGCACTGCCTCCTCTCTCTGTAAGGAATTCTGTCCTGAGGTCTGAGGTGGGGTCAGATTAATTAAAGGAAAAACAAGACATTGTTTAGCCTTGTTTTAGAGGTGCAGCACTGCTAATTATACTTGGGCCCAACACACAAGGGTGACTGATTTCAAAATTATGATCTGGGTGTCTGGGAGCAACGCTACAGTAAGGAGCCAAAAGATGCTGCTATTTTTTTATGCTCTTGACTGCTCTCCAGTCACCTTGAAGACAATGCAATCTTCTGATCACTGTGCAGGAAGCAGGTTACGCTAACCAATCAGAAGCTCTTGCAATCTCATTCATTGCTTTGAGTCTAGTCACCCACAAACATTTCCCCAACAAGACTGAGAAACTAGAACAATTAACGACAGTGTGATCCATTCATTAAACCTTATAAATCTATTAAGACTTATCTTTCTGTTAGTCAAGGCACATCAAGGGTACTCATGCAAAAGACTTTCAGAACACGGAAAACTTATTCAAGTACCGCATGTCCAAGGTTGAATACCACACAAACCCAAGCATTACAGATGCTACAGATGTGTATTTTCATTCATTAGTACAGGCAAATTTCAGAGGGTCAATAGTGACCATTTTCATATGCCCATTCATGCAAACTGCAGACAGACACATAACCATGTCAAGTTCATAGGAGGTGAATGGTTGCCAGGCAGGTGGGAAGAGAAAGGGGCAGGTCAGGAGAATGGAGATATCAGCGTGGGAATGGAACGCATGCAGTCGTCCTATGAAGGTTAGCTGTAGGAGGCATCAAGAAGCCCAGTACTATAATACATGGAGCATCACTGAACTTTGACCTTTTGCAATATTGGCTGCTGGCTTTTTGTAGCATCGCTGAACCCTGGATCCAGATGCATCTGATTTCCAGCCCAGAGACATTGGGAGAAACCACTGATTTTTTTCTGGGTCAGCAGCACATATGGGTCCTGAAACCAGCTCAGAGGGAAACCTCTGTATCTGGGACATTCTGGCAGGAAGCTTGGGGGGCAAGATAGAAGTTAAATGCTGAAATCAGTCAGCTATTTATCTTCATTATCTTGTTGCTGTAATATTTATGTGAACATATTACAGGCAGTGACACTAACACGATTTGACTGGGTAGGGTATATAAATTACCTAAATCAAACAGACACCAAACAACCAATTAAAGGGCATTTTCTCTCTGAAACCAAACTTCAAGATAATACAAACACTCATACATAAATGGTCTATGCTATTTTATTACCCACTACTGCCATTAAAATTGTGTAAGAAACTTAACTCACATATGGGGAGTAAGAATTACATACGGTGGCAGAGAAGCAGATCGATCATCGTACCTCCAAAGTAGGAGCCATCAGAGAGCTTCATACCCAAGATGCCCTTGGTGAGCACGCTCACCACCCCATGTTGGATGAAGTACATCTTCTTGCCGATGGTGCCTTCGCGGATGATGTAATCCCGGGGCTGGAAGACCTCGAAGCGCAGCTTGGTCAGCATGGCCGTCACGAAGTTGGGCTCGGCGTTGGCAAACAGAGGCATTGAGGCCACCAGCTTGCGGCAGTTGAAGTTCACAATTTCCTGCGTGAGTCAGAAAAAGGATGGTCTAATATCACATGTTCAGCAGTTTTTTTTTTCTTTCCAATGTCATTCAAAGTGCTTTGCCATATTGCAAAAGATAGCACAGCTTTCTGAAATATAAATGTATGCTTTCTTATTCTAGCTCTAGATGAAACAGATGCCATTTACACTTTTTAGCACCTGAGCCTCCTTACAAACTGGCCTGACGGATGCCAGTAAGCTCTTCCCACACCTTCCTGTAAGCATTTTAGACAAGTCCACCTTTTCACTCTATAGTAATGGTTAAAAAGCTGCTGAAATTGTTGTAGTCTAATTGTTGGCATTAATCTACATAACAGAGAGGCAATTTATTGCCGACTACCAACCCTCACCTGCACCCTGGCCTCATTCTCACCTCTCGTAGTGGTTCGCTGAGCTCTTCCAATATGCTCTCCTCATCAAACATCTTGCCCTGGTATCGATGCTCGTAGTAGTCGTGGATCTTCTGCCGGAAGTCTGCGGGCAGTTTGTGGAAGGACATGTACTGCTCCACTTGTTTGTACTGTGGAGAAACGAGCAGTGATGAGATGCTTGCTTTTCCTGACAATGGATCTTGAGCACCACAGCGAATGAAGAACTGAATTCTATCCCAGGCTTCAAACAAAGAATTCGGCTTGCTGGTCTTAGGCAATGAGCCACTTTCGTTCACCATCCTTATTATATAGTCTTTCCAACATTTGTTATTGATGGTAGCACTGAATACTGATACAAATAAAAAAAAACAAAACCAGCATGATCTCATAGTGTATTCATTACTCCTACATAAGCATTTTTTTACAAAACAATTTTCCTGCTCACTGCAGACTAGACGTGCCTTTAACCTTAACCAGCAATCACCTCCAAAGTCAACATGCGAAGCTAACTAAAACTAACCAAATACCTACCTTTCTGGAAATGTTAGCCCCGAGCCCTAAACTCTCCGCAACAGATTTGCATCCGAAGCCAAGAATAATGCAATATTCAAATCGACGCTGCTTTTCATCCCCTTCATGTAATATTCCTGACCTTGTTAATGCTGTTATCAGACACAAAGAGGCTGGCACTGCAAGTACGAAACATTCTGCCGGGTCAGGTGACACAGGCTGTCTTGTACCATTAAGTAAGCCAAATATAAATGCCACAACACAAGCAAGGTCTTCTATGCCTTACAACACAGGAGAGCAAATCCATCTTCACAAGCACGGGGTGCTCTGTGAGCCACGCAAAAATGACATCCATTCTTGTTGATCCAGAACGCCTTACGTGACAATTTGACTGGGCCAAGTTATCCTCAAAATGAACAATTGTGCTTTTTTAATTAAGTAAATGAACAAATTGAATCAAGTGTTTATTTGCCATAACTGCTACAAAAAAAAAAACAACACCAAAAGAGGAATATGCAGAGACTGAAACAAAAGATTCACCATCCCCCTGTACTAGATAACCAATTTGGAAGACCGATGAGTTGAGTTAGATCAGCACTTCTCAAAGTCCGAACTCCGGTCCGGATCCGGACCCGGAGGGAATTCAATCCGGACCCGCCACCATTTCTTATTTCAACGGCAGTCATTTAAGGGATTAAAAGTCTGGATTTCCTACTTTGATAAACGCATGTCAGAATCATTTGTTTAGTGTTTTGTGTCTTTTTGGAGATGGTCCGAAATTAAAGCGAAGGCGAGATATTTAAAGTTTTCCTCCGTGATTCAGTTGCCATGACAGTGAGTGTATACTTTTGACGTAATCGGCGCGAGCCGCGCAACGCGACACTTCACCACAGTAAGCGTTTGAATGGGTGTGGAGGATGTCATTGTCCAGGAAAAGAAAAGTTGACGAAGAAAATAGAGTTTTCAAAGATGATTGGACAGAGAGGTATGCGTTCATTTTGCCCCAATCCAGCACGAAGCCATTCTGTTTGATTTGTAACGAGACAGTTGGAGTTGTGAAGAGTGGAAATGTCAAACGGCATTATTTTGCCACTTTTGCACTTGTTATTCATGTATTTTGAATGCAAAAGTCACCTTATTTTTTCATAAAATGAATGTTGATTTGTTATACATGTTTATTAAAAACAAGTTTTGTAATTACCAATAGTTCCGGACCTTTGTCATTGATGAAAATTCAGATTTGGACCTTTGAATGTAGACTTTGAGAACCCCTGAGTTAGATGAATAAATATAATTGTGTTATACTTAAATGACCGCCACTGTGACGCAGGTCTGAGTGCTGGAACGTTTGTGAAATGCGGCTGTAGTTAAAGGAACAGTTGAGATTCGGGAAGCTATAGATGACACGAATGCATCCGCTGAATATGACGACCTCTTGACCGTCAGTAGCGGGGATCAACGGCATGATGAAATCTGATGGACATTCTGATCAAAATGCAATTTCTACCACGGGACGGGGCAGTCAAAAAAAAAAAAACATAGCCTGAATATGTTTTTCTTTTTCCCTCCATCGAAACATTTTGCCGTGGAGAACAATGAGTCTCGCCCTGGACACGTTTGTCCGCGTGCAGACGGCTTGACGATCCCCGATCAATAGCGACGGCTCCCACAGCAGGAATTTGGAAATTAAGTGCATGGACTGCTCAGATGCCCTTTGAACTGTGTACGGTGATCCTGAGTGTAGGAGGGGAGCTATTACACAAGCAGATGATGATGATGTACCTGACTGAAAGATGATGGTGCTGATCCCTGTTCCACCACAGGGGGACACAGTGGGGGACGTATTAGCAGCGAAGAAACGGCCCCTGGATCATACTGATGATCCCATTAAAATACTTTGCTTTCTGTTTATATGCTGCAAGAGGTTCTGAAACATATGTTGTGAGGGATTAACATATACTGTCACTGCTGGTTAAACCAGTCATTAATCCAACGGGGAAAAGTAACCAATCAGAAGTGTGCTTTTTTTAGGAAAAGCCAAGGGGAAGAGGGCTTCTATTTTTAGGGTGAACTTTCCTTGAAGGAGACATAATTCCCAAAAATATCCCTATAAGGGAAGGATAACATTTACAAAGTCACACACATAAAAACCAAGCACACCTATATACAAAACGCGGGCACTTACACACACAAGTACACAGATGCACAACGACCTACCGGATTCCAGAATTCATCTTTATTCATCAAAAAGCCGCCCGCGTCCCTTTAAATGTTCCTAATGCATTTGTAATTTTGAATTTATTTGCCCCATAGAGGTCAACAAACAGCGTATGTTGTACTGGAATTTAACCAATAATTAACAAAACAACAATTTGTACGATAACATGCATCTTTGCATTCTGACTCAAGCATAATTCCAATTGCTAAATGATGCATTTAGAAGGAAGATACAGAGATGCCAACTCTCTGCGCTTTCATTTTTGTTAGCAGGAAGCATGATGTAAGAGGACACTGTGTAATGAAACACAGGTCGTTACAGGGCATGAACATATATACACACTGGCACTCTGTGTGTGATTCTCTTTGTGCTTCCAAGGGTATTCTCCCCCTACTGTAGCTTACACCAACAGTCTGAAACATGCAGTTAGGTGAAGAGGTACCTCTAGATTGCCCTGAGAGTGCATGTGCCCTGCTATTGACTGGTATCCCATCAAGGGTGTCCTCTGAATAGTACCCAGTGCTTCACTGGATAGGCTCCTGGTTCACTGCACTAGGTAAGCGTTTATGGAAATCAGATGCATAAATTTTATCTCAGCAGCATGTTTATGAGCTGGGAGAATATTCACAGAAAGAAAATGCATTCCACACACATAGGGCTGAGAAGAGATGAGAATTAATCCAAAATGATGAGCTAAATGAAGTGCAATTAACTTCTAGTAGCCGGAGGGTGGTTGCATTTAACGATTACAGACCAGTGTGTCAGGTTTCCAGGTAAGTCCATGGCTTCTGCCCATGTCTCTCAATATGTGCAACGGAATGTGTTGCGCTTTCTCTCCCCCAGGAATCAAGAGCTCGATCACGTCAGTCCCATGCCTCTGAAACACCTCCCTCTCCTTACAGGCTCCTTGTCTCCCCTGAACCCAGCTCCTCGTTTCCCTGTGCGTTTAATTGAGCCGACTCAGGACTGATCTATCAGAGTCCAGCTAAGCTCAGCTGGGCCCGCAACCCTACAGAATAATAAACGGCAGCACTGACACAGAGACAAATCGGTGCAAGAGGAGAACAGACAGCGAATCGCGCCACCCAGCTGGAGCGGCAGCGGCCGGAGTCAGAAGCCAAATGCCTCTGGGAGGTCATGTTAGGGAGACCGCGAGCGAGCAGATGATGAATGGCCGCCTGTCAGGCACCGCGGCCCGACTCTCTCTCCGCCGGCCGGCATCCTTCTTCATGCGCATGCTTTAAAACCGTGGCGATTTGCCGCTAATATGCCGCGGGTCTGACTTTCTCTACTCCTCGTCTCTCCTCTTCTCTCTCTGTCTGAATGATGGTTTAGATAAACTGTGCCGGCAGCAAACATCAGATAAAAAAAAATAAAGTGCTGCACGCATAGATAATGGCGTGAACAGCGTAGAGCATATGTTCTCCTTCACTTTAAGCCACGTCTGCTTCCGTGAGGCCGTCCCACAATCAGCCTGTCCAGATTAGTGCCCGCACGGTCCCTCCACGCCGGTATCCCGTGGAGACGGCTGACACAGAGCCCCGCAGCCGGAGCGTGACACACCCGTGCTCCACTGCAGTGGCCAAAACACCGCAGTGCCACAGCCCTCCAATCACATCCCATTTGCCCTTCAGATTTCCACAAAACGTACTACGATTTTTCAAATATTTCCACCACGGGGATAGCTGGTAGCGAGCGACCCGTCACGGCACTCGTCAGCCTCGGCTACAGTGAACTGGGACTGGGGGGGGTCAGGGTCACCCGCAGACCTCTCCAGCAGTCCCTGGGGGGCTTTCCTGAAAGTGACACAGCCCCAACTGACGGCAGATTATAAATATTCCCCTTCCCAGCACTGCCGGCTTAGAGAGGAACCACAGGGATGCAGAAAGAACATCTTCTTCCACCCCTAGTTTTTCTCCTCCTCTGACTGGTTTGCACTTATCAGAGCTGACCTTCATCATATCTAACATGAAGCCATTGATTAAGGAGGACTAGTCATTACTTATTTATAACATCCTTCTTTCTCTTATTTTTGCTCCTCCGGAATTTATTCGTTTGTGCAGTTAGCAGGGAAGGCTAACTTACACGGGTTTATCGGTGACTGCTGCTTGAAAGCTCATATACAGGATAGTCGAAGTCACGCTGAGCGGAGGAGGCACAGAGGAAGGATGCACCAGCTGCCCAAACCAGAGCTTTCCTCCGGAATGAATTCAGAAACAATCAAAGGGAAAGGTCAGCTGCCGGCACAAGCCAGCAGGCCACACCCCCAAAGCAGCTGGTCACACCCCCAAAGCAGCAGGCCACACCTCCATAGCAGCAGGCCACACCCCCATAGATAGAGGCCGTGAGACCCAGGCTCAAGGACAAAGCGGCCACGCATGCGCCGGGACTTCACCTTGCACGGGATGCGAGCTTTTTTTATTTCATCGACCCCCCTGTCAAAAGGGAAAGTCATGCACCTTCCTCATGTGCCTTTTTCTCTCCTTGGCTTAGCACTGGACACCCTGAAAAATCCATTGCTTAGCATGGGCAGCCACAAGCACTCCGCCCCAACACCAACTGTCAAGGCAACCGACTTGGCAGATACAGATACATACGATCCTCTGTCATTCTGTCCTCATTCAGCCCTGCACACTTCATGGATCCACATCCAGCTGTACCTTAGAAACAATCATAATCTGCTCCATGTGGCTTCCTCAACAAGCCCTGCTAAGGAACAAGGTTCATGACCGACATGCAATGTGAGATGTTTATGCACAAAAGTGCTACAATGGAAATAAAACCTAATGTTGTGATCTACTAACAGAAGAGGCTGCAGCCAACAAAACAAACCCAGGCTTTCAAAGGGAAAACAAAATGCTGCTAAAATTAGTGGTGCACCAATGTGGAAATTTTAGTCAATACCAATAACCGATATTTGTGTCTAATATTACCAATGCCGATAACCAGCTAACCTCTGAGCTCCACAAATCTGTAGCGAAAGTGATGCATTACTTCTTAAGATCTCATCAATGTGCATAGCAGCCACGCCATGTAATTCAGGCAGCGAGACATCGGCGAAGTAGTTCCAATTTGCGAGACAGTAGCGGGGTTTTAAGTAGTGAATAAGCAGACAAAATCCCTCGTTGCCTGCATTACAGAAAACGGCTGGTCGTCCAATGCATTCATCTCCATTATTAGTCATGTCTCCAGCTCTGGCTGCTAACTTTAAAGTCTCTAAATATTGGGCGACAATGTTGACCGAGATAGACATATGAAAATGATGCCGATGTCTTGATTTTTAACAACGTGCAATGCCAATATACTGTGCAACCAAAATGCGCGTGGGAGTCAGAGCTCCTTCCAACCCAGTGCTTCTAGGAGCAGGTTCCAAAAGTTAAGGTCCACATTCTATGCCCTGTAAATGTCCGCAGTTCCCTCAAATGAAAGATCAGACACATCGTGGAGACCGGCCAGTCCCCACTTTTACCTAAAGCACAACAAATACATACAGTAGTAGGGAACTCAAACTTTACTCCATGAAGAGAATTTGGCTATTCTGAAGTAACGCAATTATTTCCAACTGACGAAACTGCCATTCTCAGACAGAAGCATAACATTTGTTTAATCACAAATAAAAGTAACTACAATACAACATGATCCAGAGGTACAGATACAGATACAGACAAGGTCAGCCCACTGGCAGACCCAAGAGCACAAGACCACAATGAAAACTAGCTAAGAAGCAGTTCAGGTCACAAAGACAGTAATTCTATACAGAAAAGGTCATTCTGAGCACACAATGGAAGCTTGGCCTTTATATTGATTCAAGTGAACACAAGAGGAAATCTTCACATCCATCCATCCATCCATTTTCCATATCCACATGCCCTGTGCAGGGTCACATTTAGGTCATTATTATCTAACTAGCAAGATGACTAGAAAGGTCACTTCTCATGCTATACCTCTAATGTCAATGCTCTGTGCTTGCAGTCTACAGTGAGTTTACGGCCTACGGCTTTAAGAGTATGAAACCTCTTACCTTCTCCTGGTACTGCCGCCGGGAGGAGTCCAGGGACTGGATGAGGGCGGTGGCGTGGCCGATGAAGACGGCGTAGCAGGTGGCGCCCACGATCATGCTGAGCATGGTCAGCCAGATGTCTGACAGGCTCTCGGGGGCCTGGCGGCCATAACCGATGCACAGCATGTGACTCATAGCCTTGAAGACGGCGAAGGAGTACAGCTCACTCCAGGTGTCATTCTGCACGGGGATGTAGAAACGGAGATGGGCCACAAGCTCGGCAAACGACACCGGGGGGGGTGTTGAGAGGGAGTGGACATGTGACTGAATCAAAGGGTTATCAAACCCAAGGAGCAAACGCTCCTGGTGGTTCCACAGCCAGTACGCCTGTTCCCACTCAATATCCAAGTCCCTCTAGTCACTTCTGAGCATCAGGCCTAATGTCATAAACACTGATTAGTGTGATTAGTCCTGATGCTGAACAAGACTGCCTGATGTCCCATAATGCACCCTGGTGCCCAGAGTCCATGCGCACCGAAACGGCCATAGTGATGGACAATGATGGATGTCTGTACGTGTGGGGGGGGGGGGGTTTCAAAACGATGACTGTCCCGCTGGGGTTGTGACAAGTAGCTTGAACAGCTACCATCACAGGTTTTCAGTTTTATACTTTTAACAATCATTTTTTTTCCCCCAAATCTGATAGTCGTACACTGGTCTCACTGATGTGAATTAGTAATTAGTAATTAGTAGCTAAATAATAAGCTAAATAAATGTCGACAGATATAACTCTCCATGTGATAAAACTGACAGATGGATAATTCTGATATTAGGCCACGATGATGCTCACAATAGGGTACACTGCCTATTATACCTTTCTAATGACTGCCTGTGGTCACACCATAAAGAGGCACTAAAAATACACATCACCATCTCAGATTCCGTGCCATTAATGCCATCCCACGAGTCCCCTTGCAATAATGGCACCGTCCTGCCATTAGGCATCGAATAGAGCTTCTACAATCAAGTAGGACTATACAGGTTTGTGTTTAACACTATGCCGCTCATCTCTCACACACACACACACACACACACACACACACACACAATAAAGAAGCACCATTAAAATATCCTTACTGAGGGCCTGAACTCATCATGGCTATGTATCGAGTAGCTATTCTGCGTCCTTTACAATTGCAAAAATAACTCATTATATATCACACTTGTCATGTAGGAAAACTAAACAGCTCCATCTCTTTGCAGAAATTGCAAATGCAGAGTGCGGGTTTAAAAGTGCAGTGTTGTACAGCCATTGGAAATGTACCTACTGACTAAGCAGCAAAAAACCAACAGAGCTCACCTGATTTTAAAACAAATACATAAGTCACCTGCCTTTTATCTTGCTGTTCCGAACACTATGGCATACGGTGCTTATTTCTATGCAGTATAATACTTTCTAGGATCTTTTCAAATACCAATTGTTTTCACATTCCCTGATACCATAGAGGTGAGAGACAGCTGCCCAGCAGCAGAGTCATGTGACTTGCATTTTGTCAGGGAATTGGACAGAAACTGTCCTAACAGCTCAGTGACTGACAAATGAAAATACTTGTACATGATGGTCTAAATGTCTACATAACTTTGTCATTTTGTACATGGCGGAAGCCTGAAGGACAAGACCTTGAAGTGACAGTTTGTAACACAGAGAGCTTCAGTACTGTGCCAAAGACCTAAGCCATCAGCGAAATAGTTTAAAGCTATTTATCTGGGTAGTAAGTGTGTATCTGCTCAGATAAAAACACAATTTAACATTAAAATACATGCAAAAGACTAGTAACGCATAAAAAGTAACAAGTAACTTCTTCTGTTCCAAAAAGCTACTGATGTTTTGTTGGATGGTTAGAAGAACATTGCTTTGTTTCCTAAACTACTCCTTGAATGTATTCATGAAATTTCACCTGCTCACTTAATAAATTAACTTAATTAGTTAAATAACTTGATGAAGTATTGAGTAATCAAACATGGTATGCTATGTATATTGGATGCTTACTAAAAAAAAGTGGAGTGACTTTCGGAGAGGTTTGGAAATGCGTTAGCTGACACAGATTTGCAGACATAAACTCATATTTTACACGAGCATGACGATAATTTAAACATAAGCTTTGGCAGGCTAAGATTTTCCACAGTATTGCAGATCTTGTGCAAGGTTTCTCAGTTGTCTTTGAAACAGGAAGTGGGTGGAACTAATTATCTTCCTAATTGAGCTAAATATAGCCTTTTATACCACATAGCTCATTAGCTGTTCAAAGAGGACTAGATATACCATTCCATCCGTCCTGTGTACCACACAATAACTCAATGTGGAATTGTTGCTACCACTATTCAGGATAACTAAGGCAAAGGACTTGGGGAGGGAGGGGGGGTTCTGGCGCATACCACCATCTTGTTAAGTGACACCCAGCAGTCGGCAGGGAAGTCCTGCAGCATGGGCACCAGGAACTGCAGGCAGCCGTCCCAGTGACACAGCAGCAGCATCATGCCGATCAGATTGAAGATGCGCATCACCGCGCTGGCCAGGTCATAGGTCATGTGGAAGATCTGCAACACAGCACCGAGAAGGGAGATAAGACACGGCTGGGCACCATCTCCGCTTCCTGCAGGCGTCTGGAACGTTCCAGAGAGCTAAGAGAAAACTGGGGACATAGGAAGAAGAAAATTGGTGACCTATTAACCGTGCCTTGGCCGCACCAACACCAGGATATCATCCGCGTCTTTATTGCTTCCCTGTTATAAAGAAGCATCACAAATTCAAATATGATTAGAGTCAAATAGCAGAATCAATGCACTTGTTTTAATGCTTCTACACCCAACATGCCAATGTTTTCATTCCCAGGACCACATCACAGTTCCAGGCAGAAGCTGACAGAGATTTTGTACCGTTTGTCATCATGTCTGCTGCCGAGACCCAGATTTGCACAGCATTTATATACATGTCACTTGAAAAACTGACACATATTACCACATTCTTACAATAAAACAAATCAAATCGATCTGGAAATCATACGATGATGCATCGCTTGGTCGCTTAAAATTCATTCAGAGAATGAGTCAGGCTTCACCACGGTCTCCCCTGGGGGGGGAATGTGTTGGCTTGCATCTGGTTCCTGAAATGCCACCACACCAGGGACACACTAGGATGTATCTGGGTTTCAGCTGCAGCGTCACATTCGGAAGATGAGACTATGGTGGAAATCGTGGCAGCATAAGGAACGTAAGGCTGCTCAACAGCAGATTAATGCTCAGTACACATCACTGCCGATGTTCTCCAAAGAGACTAAAATCCTGACTGTTATCACAATTTTACGTTAACTACACCTTCATAATGCACATGGCTGGTGTACATCCAGTATAGAACACATATCCACAGCAGAGCACATTCAGTACTGTACAAAAGTCTTAGGCAGTCAAAGCAAATGTTTGAAGCCTATTTATCTGGGTAGGAACTGTATACTTGCTCAGGAAACACAATTTAACATTAGAATATATGTAAATTAACAGTAACACAATGAAAACTAACAAGAATTTCGTATTTGCTCCAAAAAATTACTGATGTCTTTTTGGATGGCTATGTTGCTTTGGTTGTCAGACCTCTCCTCAGCCACTCCATGTAATGTTACATTTTGCCGCAAGCTGAATTAATTAAGTAATTTAATTAGTCTAATAACTTCACTTTGGTTGGTTAGCCAAACATGGTGTTGCCGTTGGCCAAGTCAAAAAACAGTGCATCGGATAGCCGCAGCAAATACTTGGTGGACAATAGGAGTGGTTTTGAAATGGTTAAGCTGACACAATTTGACAGACATAATATTATAGTTCACGCCAACATGAATATCATTTTAAACATGATTCTCTTTGACTTTTATACAGTACTGTACATATTCACACACTGTGGGTGTGACCAGGGGAGAATATGCAAACTCCACACACGCAAGAAACAGAGGTAGGACTTCAAGGTGTTAAGCAAGTGTGTTAACATGTCACTCATAATAGCATTTTAAAAAGTAATATATATCAACACATATTAATGCTAATGGCTATAGCACATGGGAATAACAAGGAGTTAACAAAAAGAATTAGCTATTTTCAATAACTTGTTTCAATGTCTAATGTCACACAGCAATGCCTTGTCATGCAAAGACCAGGCTACCATCTGTCCTGCAGGGAAAACTTCTAATAATGCCCGATAAGTGCATTTTATTGCTTGTATAGCTTTTGTAGTTACATTACTGAGCCAGCATTTATACCCTTCTCATAAATATATTTCTATATATAAAAGTAAGTTGTGCGTGTGGTTTTCTGGGAATGGGCACGTAGCCAGGCTGCTCTGCCTGGCTCAGGACTCCAGCAGTGCTGAGCATATGGTGCCCAGCGTGACCGACAAAGCAGGCCACACCTGTGACAACGGCAGGCACACAAGAGCAAAGTTGATATCCCTGATATAACCCCAGAGGACGTGTCCCCCGTCTGTTAGGGCCTCAGAGCTTCCAAGCACTTCATAGCCCCTCCCCTTTTTGACGTGAGACTCGCAGTCTTGCCATCCAGCCTCCGCATTCTTATTTGCTAAGAATCTAGGCTCCAAAAACATACCTACATGGGAACAAAATGCAGCCTAACTGAGTACTGAGTACGGACAATGAGGTACCGTACTCTATTTGTATAATTGTCTCACAGAGTCAAGGTCTTCAGGAAACACGGGGTGTTTTTCAATACGAAGAACACAAAGATCGTACTTGTGGTCTTAGCAAGAGCGTTCTTGCTAACTTGCCTCCCAAGAATGAACTTGGGCTGCAATGAATCATGGGATTGTTCTCGTTTGGCGAGGATGCAACGATGGACCCTTGATATTTTGGGGTGAGGCAAAAATTACATTCTGGGATATTTTTTGTCCTCTGTATTTCTGTTCTTAGTATTGTAACTGGTCTTGGGCAATCGAAGATTACATTAATGCGTACGTGAGAACACAAGTACGGTCAAGTCGGCATAGTGAGAAACACCCAATGTTCTGGCCACTATGGTCTATGTGCTCAAGATGATTCTCTTCTGTGGCTCCCCAGCCCCCCCCCCCCCTCCATTCCTTATCTACGTCGATTCACAGAACATCAGAATAGAAAAAGTAGAGTTTCCACACTGGATGAGATCAACTCTGGGTAAGAGGTGGGGATGTGATCCCGAGAGGGACAACAACCATCACTGACAGATGCCGCCCATCAGTCACCTGTACTGGAAAGTGACAGATGATGTGGTTTAGCGGTGCCCCCTGATACAGACTGACAACACCGCTGGCACAATCCTGCAGGACCTCCCTGGGCCTCCTACACGACTCCTCAGACATCTGTCATCAGCTCTGCGAGCGTCAGAGCCTCTGCATTACGCCTGGCCGCTTTATCGATCACCCAATCCATTAATCTTCACCTGTCAAAACAGATACTTTTTAAAACACATGTATTTTTACAGGATATTTATTGTTAAAACCCAACAACCGTAATATATGCGAGAGGCGGACTGTGGATGAAACCCTTGGCAAGTCCACTCATGAGACACTGGTACCAGTGTTTTGTTGTGGTCCATTGTGGTCTGCCATACCAGAGACAGCACAATGCTGACTACTAAATGGAGACAAGGTGGGCCCTTACTGACTTTTAAGAACATTGAACATTCAACACGCTTTCGGAGAGTGAGCCACGAACAGCGATCCAAAAAACGAAAAAACATCGTCAAAAAAAGATGAGTGCTTTTCATCTTGGTTCAATATGATTTCAATGCATAACCGACTAGAGCTCCGGCACACCTAATCTTAAAATGTGCAGGCCTAAATTCCAAATGAACAAAGCCAGTCCGTCATGTAGACAGGAGTTCCCATCATAAATGGAAGGGAAGCACTATTAGTCTTGGTCATCTTAAGCAAGTCTCCAGAGCTAAAGTGTTCTGGTGTTTGCAAATCACTCAATTTCATATAGATATACTGTAACAATGACGATATTAAGGAGACTGCTATGAAAGTTCATCGTTTAAAAGGTTCTGGCCACCTCTGCAGCACTGCAGCAAACGAGTTTCTCCGATCTTTAGCCTACAAAGGTCTGCTTCCGTGCTTGTGTCACTACTCTACAATTGAGAGGAATATTCCATTTATGAAGTGCCGAGCACACGTAGACACCTGAGTCATTGCACCCGGCTAGAGGACAATACTTGTAGCCGAAGCGGGGGTGGAACAGGAATCAGGTACACGCTTTATTGGTCCGGATTCCTGTAGTTCGTTTCTATTACCTGGCTGTGTTTCAATGGCTTTTTTGGGTTTGCTGTTACAACTAACAAGGCAGAACTTGATACGATGAGCAGACGGACTGGGTTCTCACAATAGAACAACAGGGCTGTTCCTTTCTTCTTATAGTCCCGGAAATACTGCTAAGCAACTCTGGGCCTGCATGTGATACTACACTGATGAGGCTGGGATAAACGAGAGGTCCGATACGGGGCTGCGAACCCCATGCGTCCTGGATTTGTGCCACACCACATGAATTTAAATGTATTTAAATGGAATCCATTAGCACAGTGACATACAACAGGAAAGGGGTGGGGAGGGGGGGGGGGTTCTGTTCCTGAGGAATGGGGCTTCTGCTGGGCCAGAATGACATGTGATGATGGATGGCATCTACTACCGTCACCAGAAGCCTTGTTATTGTCATGCTTTCCATTCCAGACTGCAAGCACAGCTGGAGAAACGTTCCCAAAACGCTGAGAGAACGCTAGAGTACTGATAAAGAGGAGAGGAAGGCAGCATGGATGAGAAGAATATTATTATGGATAATGAAGGAGGTGGAGAGTATGGAAAAGGAGGAAGGGATCTAGTGTGGATGAGGGAGGATGGCTGTGTGGATGGGACCTAGTTGATCTCTATCCAGACTCCCGTGTCCTGCTTCTTCTCTTTGTGCCCATGATGCATCAAACAAAGTCCCAAAGTGCATCTATAATGGTGCAGCAGATGGCAAAGAATTTACCTTTGTGTTTTCTAGAGTTCAATTACACTCACAGGCATATATTCCCTCGCTTGCCCTCACTGCAATGACACCAATCAACATGAATAGTGTGCGGCGTGCATGCTGTTGTCACCCACAGCTTCAATTACAGCAGAAAAAAGGAGTTAGCATTATTAGTGCCGCTGAAACTCTGAGCTACGCCATGCATTCAGAAAATAACTGCAGCAAAAACTTCCTAGTGTGTAACATCTTATTCATTTTATCTAAATAGCTGCCAATAGGCAATCAGACCAATGGAACTGATACATCTGGTCTCCAAACTAACTGAGCACAAAAGTCTTCTTTCTAGTGTGTTTCACTTCCTACTAAGAACTACTGACGAGCAACATATGAGCTAAAGACTGAAAGCTAAACTATTAAACGACTACACACAGAATGAAGTGCTTCTTGTTCACTTCAGCCTGCAAAAGTTGTGTACTGGGGAACCACTCAACTGAAAATGATATTAAATATAGACACGCTACATTGTCATGTGTTTTGGTAGCCAAAGTAGCACATATATTATTATTCACTTAATTTTTATCCCCACATGTAAATAATATTTTGTTTGACCAGCGCAACATAGACCATAGCATTATACTTTGGATTAAGCTCATCCTTGCCCTCTCATTGGTGGGTATATACCTTAATGTCTTTGTCCATGAGCCCACATACCTCCTCCCATTGGTGGATGTAGCGGATGAGCCTGGAAAGGCGCAGAAGGCGGAGCAAACTGAGGATCTTTGTGAAACGCACTATCCTTAGGGCACGTGCTGTCTTGTAGACTTCTGAATCAATGCCCTTCTCCACAATCAGGAAAATATAATCCACTGGGATGGAGGACACAAAGTCCACCACGAACCAGGTCTTCAGGTACTTCTTCTTTATTTCTTTGGGGTCAAGGATGATGTCCGTGTTGTCCTCGATCACAATGCCAGTGCGGAAATTGAGCACTAGGTCCATAAGGAAGAAAGTGTCTGACACGACATTGAAGATAATCCATGGTGTGGTGGTCTCATCTTTGAAAAAAGTGATGCCCACAGGGATGATGATGAGGTTTCCTACCATAAATAGCAACATTGTGAAATCCCAGTAGAACCTGCAATGGCAGGAAATAAAGACAAACACAAAAAGAGATGTTAAATATCGCTTTTGCTTCCAGTTACATACACTTTGTTTCAACATTTACAATTATTATCATGAATTACTCATCTGTATTTCAGCCAGCCTACCATTTCCCATTAAAAATAAAATATCCACTTTGGATTTTGAGAGAGGATTCTTTTAATTAACATTACCCAGTGGGCATTTGTGTTGCCATTTTGGCATACAACAACAATCCAACTGGCTACAATCTGCTGCTGTGGCAGTATCCAGCTGAAAGGATACTGTCCTAATCTGTAAGCCACCCTCTGAGAAAGCGTGTATGTACTGAGACGTGTATGAAAATGAATTCATCCTGACATCTTTCAGAAATGCTAGTGATTAAGCTTTACCTTTTTACAGACTGCAAGGTCAATACAAGGATATTCCGAAGGCAGCAGCGGCTGATGAAACCAGAGCCATCTGTCGAATTGATTTTTAACTCTGTCAACGAGGGAGGAATATAAAACTGGAAACTGAAAAATTGGTCTTAAATATACATGACCTCTACAGCGTCTCAGATTTAATAACACAGGAAGGGAATGCATACATACCAGACGGTTCTAGAATAAGGTTCTACAAACCTTCTTATATCCACTTTGCTGTCACTATGCCTTACATGTTAAAATTTCTAATTAAGTGAATAAAGATGGGGGGAATATTTTTGGCCTCCCATATGTTCAGGTAATGAATCTATTATGTAGTTGGTTAGCAGACAGCACAGCCTAAAGAAGCTCACGAAGTTTACACTTCGCCCACTGAGATATTTTGCTGAGGTCCAGCACATATAACTTCAACTGCAGTAAAAGGAAACATCAAAGGCCCATCTGGGAACTTAAACTAGGAAAATCCTCCAACTGAAATTTCACTTTGTTGACCACACAAGTGACGGAAAAATAAAGAGATTCGTATGAACAGCGAAGTTGTCAGAGGTGTAGGAGCAGACAGAGCTGGCTGGTCCAGGAAACAGTGGGACACCCTTTCCAGTAGCTCAAGGCCACCTCTTCCGAAGAAGGCCCCCCCCCCCCCCCCCACCCACTGTGCTGCTGAGTCACGTCCCCACAGGCGAACCAAATCGCACACTTGGATTCAGGATGCAATGACCCACGTCATACAAAAGCCACAGTGATCAGGTCTCCTCTGCACTTACAATCTCGTCGCCCAATTGCATCATGACATATCACGTACGTGTCAAATTACACCAACACAATGCAAACCAAGCAGCTAAGCAGCGGTAATTGAATCAATTATAACTGCTGCAGACATGAATATACTAGTAAGTGTAATTAATTAGAGTAAATATTAAATGTATTGAAGACAAGCATGGATTCCACTTGGCTGTCCACCCTCATTGAGATGCCTTAACATGACCACAACCCATCAATATCAACAGCAGGGGTGGTGTGTGTCTCAATAAGTTAGGTCTCTACGCCTGTCATCTTAGGGTTGCTGGTTTGAACGCCCGTGGAAGACGGAATAGTCACATCACTTGAATGGCTTCCCTAGTCCAGTTCCAGGGGAGCCAGTTAAGTCACTGTCCCAGGCCCTCCCCCCAAGTGCAATGCTTGTGGCTAAACACAGAAGCTTCACTCAGTCCAAGCCACTCATGTCCTTTTTTTTATATATATTTTAATATATATATATTGATTTTTATGTTCATTTTAATTTATGTTTTGGCATGCAATATTTTGAGTTTGTCATTGTGTGCCACAGTCTATAACTAAACCTGGCAATACTAAATACTTCAAGGTACTTTGTAGTAATTAGTGCAAGAGGCCTTTTGTGGTCTGAATTTTTTATTATTATTATTATTATTATTATTATTATTTCAAATTGACTTTAAAATTTGTAGAACTACTTATCACATTGCATGCCTTATCAGTAACCCCCAGCGTTGATGAAACCAAATATAAAGTAGTGACAGTGATTAAGTAATAGAAAAGAGTACTATCAAAAATGTCTGAACAATTTGGTCTGGTTTTCCGCCAGCCATTTCCCCCCCTACGCGTGACACATGCAATGTCCCATGTGAGCTATCCATGGTGCTGAAAAAATGGCAACGGTGACTACAGCGGCTACTGCACATTGTCTGTCGAGGCAGACGGCGAAGTTCTAAAGCCAAAAATATTATGCATCTGAAATTTGGTCATTTCACTGGTGTACAGTCAGAGAGAACTGCAAAAATACTTTCACCATGGGTTCCAGCAGTTTGGAATTTAATGAAAACTTGGTAGGAAATGAAGATGAGTTCATGCTCATCTGCGTGTTTATACTGAAAGAGTGCAGGTGAAATCTGCAAATTAGCAGTTAGCAAACATATAATCCACTAATGTCATTACTCTTTAACCTTGGAATATTTTATATGTACATAAATCGTGGTATAATTCCATGAAGCTCCACAACATCCGATTTTCATTACACTACTCTTATCACACTAAAATACTACAGCAGACATTTTTATAATAACATCACAGTGAAAATAACAGGACATGGACATCAACAGCTGTGTCCAATCATTAGCTTTCAAGCTTGGTTTCAGCTACTGAGTGCTTGCAAAAGTGCCAATTATTTGGCTTTTTAAAGAAAATCTAAAGCCGGAGACATGCTGAATAGCAGTGAATTTCCAAGCACATAGGGGACCTTCTGTTTGCAATCACGCTGTTAGGTCAAGGTGACATTGCAAAGTGAGGACTCAACACACCACGCGATTCACGACGACAAAGTCACGAATTTTCTTACTACTGGCATGGAGTCGTTCTGCAAATCAGCAAATTTTGTTCTTATTTAAAAATATGTTTTATATATATATATATATATATATATATATATATATATATATATATATATATATATATATATATGCTGACACCGAAATCTAAAATGCACTTATCGGAAAATTCGACAGAAATACGGAATAATTATTTGAATTCCCTACAAATACAATATAGCATGTCATTTCAATTCTGATCGCCAATGACAAACCAGCAGCAAGCAAAAAGGTCGAAACGCTCATGAATACGTTGCCTTTAGGCAATAACATAAGTATTAGAATTAAATAATAAAACCATTTGCCTGCAATTATAAGAATTATTAATAATAAATACTAGTTAATGACGACCGGTTATGTCTCGAATGTTTTCTGTCAAATCATTCGGGTCACTTGTGAAGGTGCACTGCTAATCACTGCGTTTTAGGCCAGATCACTTACTCTATATAAAAGGGTTAGTTGAAAAGCGAAAGCATTCAAACCGAGGCAATAATAAATCATCATATTTTTAAAAAGTCAATGTCATATAACAGAAATATAATAGAAATATGTTTTCATATATTCTTGAGAGAACAACAATAGTAGAAAACCGCATTAAATATATAAATATATATATATAGTTAATATCTACAAAATGCCTTTAAAAGTCAGCAGACCGGTTATGTTCACGTTGCAGAAAACCGCGTAACGACTCGCGAGCCTCATCCCAAGCGCGAGACGCCACCGCGCGAGCTTGGAAATCTGGCACGTGACGAGCACCTTAAAAAGACCCAGTGAAAAGTAATTCACCCCATTGCTCTGGTCCTTTTACGCTCGCTTAAATTTACGCGAGCCGAGAAGGACCGACTAGTTGTACTTAAGCGCGCTCTGTCCAGTAGCTTCCTGTCACGTTGGGATGTGGCCATGCGGCCAGTTCAATTCAGCCCCTTACCTGAAATCGCTGTAAGGATGAATAATCCAGTTGCCCGCTGATTTAACCCGCTCCTGTTCCCGTTCTACTGCCTTTTGACTTCCAAACATGCGTAAGGAGAATTTGTTAACCCCCGGCTGCAGCATACTGCTGAACTGCCGCTGCATGAAGCTGGCCTGACTGCCTCGGTGCTCCGCGTCCTCGGCCACGATCTGAGGTCCATCTTCGGACTTATGAAAGGTGACAGAATTCCTGGCCTGCCGGGTTTGACTCTGGCCGTGGACGGCAGATGATGCTTTTCTGCTGGGCGCATTGGAAAAAGAGACCTTGGAGTCCTTTTTCTCGGAGACCAGAGTGTCACCCCCCTGTCCCTGTGAAAGGGACCCAACGGGGGTTGCCGACCCGTCCATGCTGGCGGTTGAATTGGTGACACCCCGCTTATTCCCGTCCTCGCCTCCAACTCCCCGGTTGCTCATTTTCTCCTGCTTCGCGATGCCAGAACACGGGCTGATTGTAGCGGTGGAGTCTCTCCTGCACTCCCCGTTTTTGTTGCATTTCATGCCCGCGACGGGAGTCGGGCTTCCCTGCCCACCTGCGCTGGCAGACGCCGCAGTCGGCGGTCCTCCGGTAGGTGTGTCTCCTGCTATGCCCCTATCCACGCCGCCTGGTACAGCACCATCTCCCGAGCAGACCTCGGAGGAGGTAACGGTGGCCTCGGACGACTCGCATTGCAAAAGAGAGAGCTCGCTGCTTGACTTCTTGCTCGCCGTCGCGGCAACTCCCCCTCCTGGCTTAAAGTTCTTCATCCTGATGCTGCCGCCGCCGCCGCCGCTGCTGCTGCCACTACCGCCAGAGCGACGCAGCCGCGGCTGCTGAAATCTCAGCTCCTCCTCACCGTCCTCCGCTTCGTCCATGACGGCACTCCTGTCAGGAGGCTTTAAATATGGAGCGGGCCGGTCATCGATAGTGCCGGAGGCGGGCGACGGGCAGTCCTTGGTCCCGATCACGCTTACGGCACCGTCCGGCGCAGATTCGGCAGCACCGCTATGGCTGCTCCGGCTGCCGCTCGCCTTCCTTTTCATCGCAGCCGCGCAGCCCGGAGAAACCTCCTTTTTGTCCATGACATTGGGAAGATCAAATTTTGCCTCCAATTATCTTGAGAGAAACCCCAGACGAGAAGAGAGAGGGGAGGGAGCGAGCCATATAGCAGGCGAGAGAGGGACGGCGAGCGAGAGACATGGACAGGGGGAGAAAACGGAAACATACGTGACTTTTTTGTAAACTATACCGTTGTGCATAGAGGTTTCACAAGGTTAGTTAGACGCATATCCATTTTTAGACCTACCAAGGATCTTTAGTATTCACTTTCAACCCAATAGCTTTCACACATTATCAGAAAATGTTTGGATATGTCCAAATGTTATTTTCATTATTTGTAATATATGCCAAAGTCAGTCGACATTTTATATTTGAACGCTGTTTCTTTAACAAGAAGCTTATATGAATAGATTATAGTATATCGCATTTCACTAATTTTGAAAATAAATATTGCATTTATAAGGTGTCACAAAATGGTATGGTATAATGCCGTTGTTTCAATGATGACATCATTTGCAGGTTTTTAGACAGCCAAGTTTTAAAAGGCTCAATTGCCGTGGATATTTGGGAGTTCAGATGGTGTCCTGGCGCCCTCTTGTGTTTAAAAGGGAGCAATGACTGCTACAAATCAATGCAAGTTAAACATTTTCGATCGATGTTACAATAAAGCTCGGTTCGTACTTGTAGTTCACAAGAACTTTCTGCTCAAATGACAAATTTCAACAAATCAGAAATATAACTTTTGTACGCAAAAATTATTTCGTTAAACGTTATATGTTTTATACACCGTTACCTTCATAAAACGTGCAAAAAGAGTACAAGGAAGTTACGGAAGGTCACATGAAAACAAATGTACAGGCGGGGTATGAATGGCAAGAGGTGGATTTGAGCTCCTTCGGTTGATCGTGCTGTTGTCTTGGAATGACAATGAGGAAATCCGGCCAGTGAATGCGACTCAGGCATTCTGCAACTGCACTGTCGGTAGTATCTAGACCGGGAACTTCACCAGTCGCAGCAAGCAGGACAGCAGAGCTGTGCACAGGGTGGGAACTTCCCAGCACGCCAAAGGGGAAAAAATACTCTGCCCAACCCATCCCAACAACAGCCTTCTGTCTCTGTTGCAGTCTGGGAGATGCTGCTTCGACCCAGAGGCCGATACTGAGACTTAGATCGAGTTTCTGCCCTCAGGCGGCCTGCTTAGTAATCGAGGCCCTGTAAGAGCTGACGTACTTCACATTCTGTGCGGTCGCCACTCTGTTCTGACTTAAACTGCCAATACAAACACACATTTAAATTGCCGCTTTTATATTTTGTCCCATTTTTTCGTCGTCATTTTAGGTCTTTTCAGTCAAGGGAGTAGGTGAGGAAAGCATTTCACTACGCACATATACAGTCTTTGCATGTGACAAAACTTGAAATGGAAACCACTGTTAACCATTTTCAGGTGAAATCATAGATGTAAGACAAGGGAGTGCTGTGCTGTGTTCTGCTGTCAGCCTGGTTCTTCCCTATGCTTTTAATGAAAGTGCCCATTGAAAATGGGACAGTACAGATACGTCACATGGGGAACCTTGGGAATTCATCCATCCTCTAAGCAGTTATCCTAGTCAGGTTCTCAGTGGGCCTGGAGCCACAAGGCTGGGGCGTATCCTGGATGAATGCGGGGGAAATATATACGCACAAATATACTATGGGCAATTTGGAGACACCAGAAAGCCTCTCTGCACGTCTGGACTTTGGGACAAAGACATAGTATGGAAAGGAAACACACAGGACAGTGGGCAACTACCCACAATGCCCATAATCTAAATGAATTCAAATGGAGCTTTGTGTTCGACGTAAGAAAAAAACGACCTGCGAAGCAAGGAAAAACCTCAACCCTAAGCCAAGCCATAATCATAATGCCTCAATTTCACTGGGGTGAGATACGGTATTTAATGCAGCGCTATTGACTGGCGATTGGGAATAGTAGGATTCACATAACCTGCGTGGGTAAGTACACAAGTGGAGAAATAGGACTTTCATACTGTCAATGTGCAGAGTGACTCAAGGGTTAAAGCCAAGAGGCAGCGTGATGGTCTTAACAGGGCGGCACCATTTTATAAAACCCAGAGAAAAGGACAAAATTATCCAAAGCCATTAGCACATCCTCTACGCGTTAGAAGCGTGCGCAGAGGAAAGACACTGGTCCCGTGACGACTGAAAGCGGCACCGCATGCGTAGCATCGCAAAGCGCTGCGAAAACAGGAGCCAGTACCTGAAACAGGAAGCATCACAATAAGACTTAATACCGCCGCTGATAGCATCAGTCGGCGGTTCGGTGACTCACAAGGACATCACTGACAGCACAAGGTTAATGTACAATGAAAACGCTCAAGCCTGAAATACAGGACGACGCCACTGCCCAGGGGCACCTTACCTTCACAGACACGTCAGACAATCTCAGCCCGGTCCCCCCACATATGATGGTAATGATGGTGAAATAAGTCCCCACTTTGCACCATGGGTGAAATCATCCATGTCCAGCATCACTAGACACTATTGCTTCCCACTGAATGAAGTCAGGCAGACAGCACATGGCAACCCCAACCCAGCGTGCATCTTTCAGAACCTCCCCATGACTTTAGGGCACCACATTATACACAGTGTACCCCCCCCCCACCCCACCCCACCCCCCACATAACACACACAGACGTATTAATTGTCTCTTTAATGTTCCACAAAATGTCCTCGGTGTCAACATGCTTTAGAATAAAATTTGACAGTCACAACTCAAATTAACGCTTCAAAAATTAGATGGCATAACGGACTTCAAGGTTTCTTACCAATATACCTCAAATAACATTATATCCCACTTGGTCATCATGATCAACCCCCACCCCAACAAACTGCTCGAATAAATTTCATATGGAATTGGCCATGTTACATTATGCACTGAAATTATGAAGTCTGAAAGTCCACAATGGCAGATATGTTCTTCAACCCCAGAATCCCATATTACACAATTACTTATCATAAAATGTGCAGCAAAGAGGTCATTAAAGCATTGTAATAAATTTTGTCTTAAGAAAAAAAACTAAAATCTGAGCCACCCAAGGCTTCTGTGCTAAGATTGAACACAGGCAAGCATGTGGACCCATGTGTTTTTAGAAAAATGCATTTCAAATGTGGGTCTTCAGCACAAGTCGTTAGTCTGGCAATTAAAATGTGGCAACACACAAAAAACAGGAGGACGAAACCCCTAGATTTACATAAAACACATTAAGGTATTGATATTAACACACCAAAAATGAAAATGCAAAGTAGTAACCATGCTGTAGCTTCCCCCCCCCCCACAATGACACTGTAAATTCAAGATGTACAGTAGCTTGGCTGTCAAATGAGCAACATCAATACAAGGGCAAAAAAGCACTAGCACATCTATGAGACCACTCAATCAACCCTGGGCGTGTGCATCTACACTAAAAATCTGTGATATTTTAACACCAACGGTGATCTATAATTAATGCAATTCCGCGTGATGATGCTTCTGGACTGTAGTCTCCTGGATTCCTGCAAGGACAAAAAAATAACCATTGTGATACATCTACAAATTAAATAATGGGAGCTTAAATGTGGGAGGGGGGGGGAACTACAATATACAGCCTCATCCATGTTCATTTTTGTTTGGAAAATGATATAGGAAGTGGCAGATCAAAGTGTCACTTGGGGATCCAAAATTTACAAGCTGCTTCAGCTTTAACTCAGCTTCAGATAATCCTTAAGCCACAAGGAAACAATTTTATTTTTGGATCAGACATAGGCAAAGAGAATTGAGCAGTATGATAAAAAAAAGGAGCAGGAAACACTACTGTAAGTGAGGACAGGATCGAGCAAAAGCAAATCGCATCAATACCACAGCAGCAGAACAGCTCACACACCTGAGTACACCACTCAGTTGGAGTTCCTCTGCCGGATGTTCTTGTCTGTGTGATTGGCAGTAGTGTCACCCTTCCTGTAAGGGGGAAAAAAAAACATTCAACTCAAAGTTCTCCAACTCAAAGCAGGTAATGTCATCAAGACGTAAAAACAAATGTTTTTCTTACAGAGGAGCAGCACCTGAGTCGTCATCTACAGGATGCCATCAGTGCATGAGGAGTGAAAGACATTCAATTAGTTTAGCTGCACACAGGAGAAACACAAAACTTAGCATAACCATCAGAAAACAGCACACAGCTGAATAGCATAACACCCACATCACGCAGGAAGTCATTCTCACACTCTTAGCCAGAGCAACATGGGCCTAAGGCTATTAATCAAGAAATCAGAGCTGAGCAAGTCAGGGGGTGGATAGTTCAGATCCAGAAAGTAAAAATCCAGACCAAGATTTTGCTCCAACCAACCAGTTGAGTATAAAGAGGCCGTCATAGAATACTTAACTGGCTGGTTGGAAGAAAATCATGGTCTGGATTTTTACTTTCTGGACCCGAACTAACCGCCTCTGGTTCAAGTCTATAAAACCTCAGTTTCACCTTCAACTAGCTAAAAGGTACAGGAATTTGATTTTAAAACATGCTGAATTAAAATGAAGTCAAGCCAACCTTTAAGCAAAATGAAAACTGCATTTTGTTAATTATGACCTTAATATACAATCTAGCTGCGGCAAAATGCAGGACTCCACCCCAACCAGCACAGAAGCTAGATGGGACAAACATATCAACTACATCATATGTCAGCCTTTCATGCAGAACTGCCTCTGCCAGAGACCCTACTGGGCAACAGAGCACACAGGGTCAGACAGAGATGCAGACTTTCACCGGCACCAGACCTTTCTTTGAAAGGCAACCAGGGAAAGAGTCATTTTAAAATTTCTGCAACCATAAGCAATTTCGCTACTAATAAGCCAGCACTATATTAATTTATCAGGGGGGTAAGGGGGTTAAAAAAAAGGAAACCCACTTCAATCTATCATGCAGGTTTAACTTACCAATGTGTAAAAAGCAGCAACAAATAACAAAATCAGTGAATAAACATTGGAACAGAGACTAAAGCAAAACAGAACTTGACTAACAAGGAAACAAATTTACAACTGTATTAAAAGTTCAAAACTGAAGAATTTTAGGCAGTGTAGACGCGGCAATAAGACATTAGACGACCACGTTGTAGATTTTAATCTGAACTATTAGCATGGATATGATGTAAGCTGTACCACTTGTTGGGGACAGATGACATATTGTGTTAGAGTCAGGAGTGGAGAGAAAGGAAGCATACCATCGTTGATCTCGTCAGGCTTCCTGCGCTTCTCGTAAATGAAGATCACGGCGATGAGGACAATGACCTCCGCCACGATACCTAGGAAGGGCCAGAGGGCGGCCAGCCGGCTGCGCACACGCAGCTGAATACTGTCCTCCTCCACGCCGAGCTCGTTGATCCCACGACACACGTATGTGGCGGCGTCGAGTTGGATGTCCAGATCTAATATAATTAGGGTTGTCTTGTTGGGCGTGCTCTTTATCTCGTATTTTTCAGTGTCATTGGTAATTATTTTCTGCGTTAGGATGAAAAGGGGGGGGGGGGAACTCAGATCCAATTTAAAGGACACCTCTACAGAAGATAATTCAAGCCAGCGACCAACACACACGAAAAAAAATTTTAATAGAAAAAACAAGCACATACCTCTTGCATGTCGTGCTTGATCAACCAAACCCAAGTGTTAGGCAATGGATAGCCGTGGCTCAAACATACCAAGACACCCTTATCCTTCTCATTGCCATGTTCAGAATGCTTGGACGCTCCCACATGGGGAACAGCTGAAGGAGAAACCATTATTACATTATCCATTGTTACGAAACCGCCCCCCACAGGGAGCCAATATTACATTTTCCATAAAGAAATACATTATTCATTGGGTTGTCCAACTACCATGCAGTTCCACGCAAATGAGGTCAAGCCAAATGATTCATTTACCAATCAATTTGCATACAAATTACTTACTTTTAACTTCAATATTCTTATGTTCGGTGTGACCATCCATAAAAGTAAAGACGCAGGCATACACTCCTCCAGAAGAGGGATCGATTTTGTCCAACCTAGCATTAAAGAAAGCAAAATCAGGATGGCACCAGAACATTTAATGCCGAATTCGGTGAAAACAGTCACACCACAAGCAGTAAAACTAGAGCACAAGACCACAGACTTCCATGTTCAAAACTAGACAAAAACAACAGGTGAAATCCAAAAGGGGGCTGCAAGTGGAGAAGTTTCTCCTCAAATTACAGCGGAACTCCACATGGTTCTAGTGAGCTGAAACCAGGGGTGTATCAAACGAGGTTTATATAACACACGTTATATTCACACCCAAAGGATCGAGAAAAGGCCCTTTCAAGAGCCTTGCTGCAGTACAATTTCCACACAGAGAGCCATTTGTGAAGCTCACTACATTCTTACAATCACATTACAAACTTAGTAAAAATTTAAATAGACCAAATCCTCTACCTCATGTTGAATCATATTTTAGATCATTTTATTTGAAACGTGAACCAAAATTAAAGCTGTGCAACGAGGTGATGGTATGAGAATGACAGTAAGTGCCTTTATCTCTCCCAAATTAAGCGTGCACAAAACCACACAGCACAGAGCTGTAACTCGAAGGGCAAGCAATAATTAACCGCTTAGTTATTATAACGTGTCTGCTGAGAGCAATCACAACATACAAATTATTTATACGCTCTGTCAGCAACTCAACTGCAAGTAGCATTCACACATTCCATTCTCCTTAACCAGACTGTCAGACCTAAATCAGAAAAAAAGCCCCACTCAATAAACCAATGGCGAGGGGGGGGGGGGGTTAAAGGTCATCTATCAGGACTCCTTCTCCGGCAGTAAACACTGTGCTTTAAAGTTTAGCATCTTTGATTGCAGAGCCCCACGGGTTTTAACAAACTGATCAGTACTCAGTTTAAATCTTAGGAACTTGGCAAACACTAGCATTCTCTAATGGCCTTTGGACCCTGTGTCAGGTGTCCCAGTTTTAAACAATAAACAAAGACTCTGCTGTAGATGCAGAGAAGCCTCGAACAACAACCGGTCATTCTCACAAGCAAACGACACCCCTCCGTAAGACGAAAGGGCTTAGTCTCATACCTGTACTCCATGTGCAATGCTGAAGAGTCCTTCCTCGTAGACTCGATAGTCTTATCATTTTTGGTCCAGTAGTGACTCTTGACCTCCCATTGGGTGCTGGTCAAGTTACAGCTCAGAATGGCAGAAGTGGCATTATACACTTCCGGGGGTGTGGCCACAATATCTGCAGAAGAACATAAAATTTAAGTTTGTGACGTGTGTGTGACATTCACTGCAACCTAGGTTTACCAAACAAGGGCAATTATGTCTCAGAGGTGGCAAAGAAGCATATACTATATATACTATGCAAACAACCAACTAATGGATCCAGAACTATCTGGATGGTTGGAGCGTCTGCAGTTTTCATTGCATTCTAGCCCTCAGCTAATAAATTAGCCTGCTTAAAAGGCTATGTCAGCTGTTGGGAATGGTCCCATCAAGTCACTGTCAACTGAAGGCAACTGGTGTCACCTTCCAACTAAACCAGATGCAATGAAAACTCACATGCACAACGCTGGGCTCCACTAACCAGCACTACTGAGACAGCCCACCCAACCTCATAAACGGGTACGTCGAACGGAAGCAATGCAAACCCAAAAGTCCACAGCAAACGAACACAGAAGAGACGAAAGGAGAGATGGACAGAAACGCAGAGGAGCACTTACCAAACAAGCCTTGGTTAGATAACGGACAAAAGGAAAGCTAAGTAAAGGCTACACTATCTAGGGGGCACGGTAAGCTGCCCCCCCCCCCCCCCCATGTTTAAGTGACACATGGACACAATGCAAAGGCGAAGACCTACTACAAGACAGAGGGTTCGAATGAGGGTATGCTTAAAGCAGGCAGAAGCCTTTATAGGGAATGATATAAAGCCGGTACAGCACCTCTAAAACAATTCTGGCAGGAGGATGCAGAACATGGGAGCCAGCGGGAACAGAAGTATGGGCTGGGGGCACTGAAAATGTCACGCTCACCCTCCAATAAGGGTGTGGCAGCACATACTGCCCTCAGCAGGCAAACACCTGCATGCCAATCCTTCCGCTGACTGAAAGCTCGGAGCTGAAGACCAGCCAGCAACCCAGTCAATTAGGCAGCTGGATAAAAATTCTCATTAAGCCCCGCCCCCTCCCTCACGCCATGCTCACACCTGTGTGTTCAAGTCATCCCGCAATATCCCAGAAAGATAAAACATTACCCACAGTCTTCAGTATATTCCATTTGGGTCAATGGTAACCTCACTAAACTGACTGAATGCTACATTGGTAAGAATCAAAATGGGTCATTGGTAAGATGCCTGATGGTCAATGGGAGCACAAACAAGAGAAAAGAAAAAAAGATGATTAGAAAACAAAACATGAAATGGTGAACAGAGGCTCTGGATTTAACAGCAGTTTACCTGTCAGGGAAGTAGACAAGCTTAAATAAAATATTCAGGGTAAACAAACATGTGGAATCCACAACGGCATGAGTATAACTTAATTTATGAAGATGAAATTAGTTTCAGTGGATGTTTGGGCAAAGAGTGTTTAAAAGGTTTGGGGAAACTGGCACAAAAAGGTGGGAAGATCCATTACAAATATGGACTACACAATGGCAATTCAGTACTATTTTATGAGAATATGACTGTAGTAGCATCTTAAATGGGGAAAAAATCAGACTCCTCAAATCACATTTAGCTGTGGTTTCAGGAAAGGTGTGCAAGGACAACGGCTGAAATGCTACGTATTGATGCATTAACGCACAACTTTAAATGCGATACTCCCTGAGCTATGCACTCCCCCTAACAGGGACATGGCAGCCATTGCAAAACAGCCCTTTTCAAATACTCCGTCCCACATGACCCATCAGGACCCCCCACCCCCCATTTCACCATAAACCACTGTAGCAATATCTTTCATGCGGGAGGAAAAAAAACGTGAAATGTAAAGACAAAAAAATCTACCACGACCCACGGAGGGTTTAAACCACATGGTTTAAAGCAGACAGCGTATGATATTGTAATAATGACTTAAATGCTGACATAGCACTTGGTTAATAAACAACAATACATTTTAAAAGTACTTTCAAAACAGTTCACCACAAGGTCAATGTAGTAACCTAAAATTTAACAGTTATAAACCGTAGCAAGTTTCTTAAATGTTCGGCAAAATAAGTAACCCGACATACCGTATTAAGGACACCCGTGTTATTAGAAAAATTATTTTAATGCGTGGGCCTAAAAATTAATCCGCTAAAAACAATGCAGGCGTGCAAGCCATTATGTTAAGATGGGAGAAATCAGCGTCTACATTACGATAATGAAAGTTTAATCGTAAATATACATATTTAACCTTGCATGTTATACATCAACTTTAACACGAATACGGCGAAACCAACTATGTTATGCACTTTAATCAATAGTGCGCTAAATCTATCTATTTTTGAAATTAATAGGTTAAAATACAAAAACATATCAAAAGCATCGTGCCATCGACTCGCTTAAATGTAACATTTCAAACTTGCTTCTTTGAAGCATTTTCCATAGACACGCAGTTTGTTGGCGGGCCAACGTTATACTGTATACTAGTTAAGACCAGTTTAGCTGTTAGCCAAGAGGCTGCCCAGCATAACTAGTCGCTCATTTTGAAATGTTACAAAGATGAATCAGACGTTGCCACATTATTTCACGCCCAGTGAAACGCAGAAGCCAAAGGCAGTGAGGAGCCAACATGTCTGCTCGGTACCGAGACACTAATTCGGCCCGGAATACGGAGAGTCCACTGAACGGTTTATCTATTACTTACTGCTGGCACTTATCGCTATGGTAGCCAACACGACGCGCAATGATTAGCTTGTTGACTAAGTAACTACTTACAGCAAACAATTTTCTCTCATACCACCTGTAACAAAGTCACCACCCTACAAACAAAACCAATCGATACATTTATACACGAAAATGGCTAATAACAAACGTTACCAACGTCAACAATCTGATGAATAACCTAAACACACTCCCGTTTGCTTAATTATTTTTCGAGGGGTAGCCAATACGTTACATACACTGCGCGTTCGGTTATGTAATAAACATTAACATTAAAAAAAAAACAACTCACCTGAAGCACTGGCTTCATAAAGGCACAAAAAAAAAACCCCGAATGTAAAGAGCATCATTTTTCGATGTTAACCCAGCCGTAAAAGCACAGAAATCGCTCCCCTCGGCCACCAACGCTTCACCTTAACAACAACCTTCGCTTTGGAGGAAGGCGACTGACCGAAGGCTCCACACCCGCCGCGCACGTACGCATGTGCGCAGCACGCACCGGCACGCTCACTTCCGGTGAAAAGATTCGAGACCTTCCGCTTGCTACCCCTGTCCTGCGTCTGGAAATGGGATCTTGTTCTTGTTAACTTGTGATTGAACAAGATGTGCTCTGTTCAAGACTCTCTTTAGTTAAACCACTAATCCAGATGTCCCATCAAATCTAAAAAAATCATTACAAAGAAAGCCAGGCTCTGACCGTACATTTTAGCTGTATTAGCATACTTTGCTATTTTTTTTTTTTTATTCTCATCAAAATTAATTTTCAATCTGTTTTTCTAACTGGGGATTTTCTATTGCCAATTACGCTAATGGCCTGATACAACTTAATTCAAACAAATTCTCTAGAGTTCAAACTGGGTCTTGACCCAGCAAGTTTTGGATTTTGCTTTATCTGGCAAAATATCCCCACACAAAGATATCATGTATTATAAAATATTCCTATGTTTCATATTTCAAAATAAAGTGGAATTATATTATAATACATCAGCAGTAAAACACACAGTTCAATGCATATTCACATAAATATTCTTCTGCTTTTTTTTTCCATTCAATCTAGGCATAATCTGTAATCACTGCATATAGATGCATAAAGAAAAAACTCATTTTGAAATTGAATACATCTTCCATTACTGAAACAGAGACATCTTTCTTAGATGACAGCAGTTCAGCTACTTTCACAAAAACAGGTGTTATATTACTTAAGCAATAATCATAAATATATTTTCAAAAGGCTAAGATATGTTTTGCTTGAGCTAACATTTAAAACAACACTATGATGTACTGCATGACATTTTATTTAATGTCTTTGCATGGATTATCTTTCACAATCCATATTTCACATCAAAGCCATTAACTTATAAGTTAAATATAAAATGTGAAAAATACAAGTCATCCAGAAAGTACTTTTAGATTAGCACATTTCAGCATCAACACTCATATGCTAAGCTAAAGAGGTAGAAATTAGGAATAAGTCTATCCAACCAAAAGAAATTAAGACACTTTGAGCTAGGACAGGATTTGTAAACTACCATTTCAATTAAAATTACCTCGACTCCACTTAAGCACTGAGTTCTTGCTGTGTGCTGATTGGTCAGTCTCCTATAATCATACAAGACTCCACCTAGAATATTGTGTGCAGGTTTGGTCACCATACCTTAAAAAGGACATTGCTGCCTTGGAAAGGGTGCAATGTAGGGCTACAGGAATGATTCCTAGTCTTAGAGGAATGTCGTATGAGGAGAGGTTAGCTGAGCTGAATCTGTTTAGCCTCGAGCAAAGGAGACTAAGAGGGGACATGAATCAGAATACTTTATTAATCCCAAAGGAAATCCAGGTATATAAGATTCTAACAGGTCTAGATGCTATCCAGCCAAATGGCTAATTCAATTTTAGATTAAATACTAGAACTCATGGCCATAAGTGGAAATTAGCGGGAGAACATTTTAAAACAAATTTGAGGAAGCACTTCTTTACACAGCGTGTAGTTAGAGTATGGAATAGTCTTCCTGCTAGTGTAGCGCAAGCTAAAACCCTGGGTTCCTTTAAATCAGAGCTAGATAAGATTTTAACAACTCTGAGCTATTAGTTAAATTCTCCCTAAACGAGCTTGATGGGCCGAATGGCCTCCTCTCGTTCATAAATTTCTTATGTTCTTATGTGTCATATCATGTTGATGTGAAAACGCTGGATGAGGACATGCAATGTCTTATAGAGGAGATCCAGAACAGCATTCGCTGTGATACCCCATCTCCTTATCCAGAATGACAGCTCAAACCTGCACATTGACTCAACTCACTACAGAAAAATAAGGACATGCAAGTACATCATGATTTTCATCAATATCACATGATGAGAACTTTACTTGCCACTAATAACTTGTATATTATGAGGACTAAAGGGACCTCTGGTTCTTCACAAAACAGCCAAACCAGTTTCTTGCCATTTAACTGACTCTACATAAGCTTGTAAGGCTTATGTAATGAGCTGTATCATGACTGTGTAACCTGGATCTTCCTCACTATCTTCTATAACATCCAGTTCCTTGAATTAATAGCCTATAACCAGTTACTCATATTTGACAGTGAGATGTCTGCCATGACACAAAAATGACAAGGAAGTCAGTCTGTAATATTTACTCACATAAAGAATATAAATATGAATTTGAGGCAGTGGTACTCTTATGTCAACAATCTTTACACCCCAGCTATGTCTAAGGTGGATGTGACTCTTCGCAGTGTAAAAAATAATAAATGATCAGCAAGTGTGTAGGAAACAGACCGCTTCATTTACCTAGGAAGCGTAGTCAACAGTGTTGGCGGCACAGATGAAGACGTCAGGAGTCGGATAAACAAAGCAAGGTTCGCATTCAACACTCTGCGACCCATTTGGAACTCCAAAGCCTTATCTCAGCGCAGCAAGATTCAAATCTTTAACACCAACGTGAAAGCAGTCCTCCTGTATGCGTCCGAGGCGTGGCGGGTAACCAAAAATATTACCAACAAGATACAGACTTTCATCAACAAGTGCTTGCGATACATCCTCAACATTAGATGGCCTGAAAAGACCTCGAACACAGACCTGTGGAAGAGAACCAGCCAGAACCCGGCCGGTCAAGACATCAAGAAGAGGAAATGGGGCTGGATAGGCCACACACTTCGAAAACCTTTCGACAACGTCACAAGGCAAGCACTGGACTGTAACCCATAAGGAAAAAGGAAAGTGGGGAGACCCGAACAGACGTGGAGAAGATCTATCGAAAACGAAGTGAGGGCTGCCGGAATGGCGTAGATTCTGCTGAAGAAAACAGCCCAGAACAGAGTCCGTTGGCGTGCTCCCCCAGGAGTCTACAGGACAGACGATGAAGTGTGTAGGAAACAGTATTATTTAATATTTAACAATATTTAATTTGGATTAATTCATCACCCCAATAAATAGTCATTTAAGTTGTGTGCCCCCCATATCAAAGTCTCCTATGTCAGTGACAATCAGGGCAAACTTACTTTTGCCTTCAAAAACATTGCAATGTCAGAATTATAAGTGGTTCTTTGAATAAATATATGCGCTTTCACTTGCATATTTTTTCTCTTGATGACGTCAAATCTTAGGAACAACACCGTGTTACAGAAAAAGACATTTGTTGTGTGTGTGGTGAGGATAAACCTGTGCAGCTTAAGGTTAGCTAGTTAGCTGCGGTTAACATTGACTTTCTTGATCCCAAGTGGAAATTCTGGCACATAACAGCGGCAAGAATGTGGGGCACAGACAAACTTACACATAGTGCAAAGCAGACAAGGTACAAAGACAGCACAAACAGTGCGAACAAGTAAACAGGGTTGCAAACAAATTTTAAAAATACACAGTATACGATACTGAATAATGAATATGACCAAAATAGAATGTTGTAGTATTATAAAAATACATATTTTGAGATAATCTAAAATCCTACATTAAGCCATGGGTAATCCCTATCTTCCATATCTGAGCCGAATTAGTATTTGCTGTTAATTAAACAGTTATTTTTGGCTGGAGTGACCTTCTTTGGGCGGATTTCCCTCACTTCAAGACTGCGTACGTGCTACACTTTGGATAATACTCTCGTACTGTTAGCCAATGAAATCGGGATTTAGAGATCGTCACAAATGTAGGGCGTGGTTTGTCAAAGTTACTGGGCGTGGTTTTCACATAAGCCGGATATGGGGCGTAGTTTGTGCTGCGCTATTTTGGGGGCGGGGATGACGCTCATGGAAACGCCAAAAACGTACGAGTAGCGATACAAACCGGTTAATGTAGTGGTGAGAAACTATGGTGGTTCATTCGCTTAGTCCAAGGAAGACGACCCAAGAATCTGAAATAAATTGTAACCCATAATATTTACATGGCCTATACGGTTAAATAATGATGTACAGAGAGTACTTGATATACAGAGTAAAATTAAATCTGTTCATTTACAAACAGTAAGTGCAACCTTTACCCGTTATTGGCATGACTTAAATCTTAATTAAAATTATGAATCTCTGACGCTGTAACAGACATTCTGCAAGAACACTACACTAGACCTAAACAGTCAAGAAACTTAAGTATGTAACAAAGCCGCTAGAGGTCAGTCTAGAGATTTTTGTCAACTGGAAGAGCTTCTGCTTCTCGTTATTCTGTTGAGTATCGAGGGGTGGCAAACGACCTGTAGCCACATCTCTCGGGGGCACGGGGCAGTCTTTTTTAGCATCTCTGAGTAATTATTTTTAGGGGGCCTCAGACGGTCACCCCCCCATGGTGCCGATCGTTCCTGTGTCCAAAATTATAGGCCACTTAAACGCTTTACTAAATATTAACAGAAACAAAAATATAGGCTAAGCGTTTATAAAGGCCTAAATATAAATGCAGCAAGTACTGAAATATGGATTTCTGGAGTAACAAATAGGCCTAATACTGGAGGTCGTCATATCCACAGCACTTGATGTTTTTATTTTCTGTTATGTTTATTCTGGAGCACTCATTCATACTGGTGCATTTATTACATTATTAATGATTGCGTTTTGCAAATGATAAAACCAATGACACCGATACAAAGCAACGTATCTCAGTTAAATCTAACATTACTAAAGGCAAAGCCCACAGTTTACTTTTTTACTATTATTACATTAAGTCATACACCTAATGGGTATCACCAGATTAGAAAGCTACAGGCAACAGGAAATGTATGTATAGGCCATGGATTCCCACGGTGTGGGTCCCGCTCCGTCCGTTTCGCCAACTGTAGATTTATAGCAGGTTGAAGTTTTTCTCGTTTTAAAATGTTAATAAACATGCTCTGGAAATCATCTCGCAGCCACCACTTTCAGGTCCCGTGGTCTATCGGCTAAAAGAGCAATTCTCAGCTATAATGACCCTCAGTCCAAGCAGGTGATTCTGGGATTCGACCTTGGCTCAGCCCCCGGAAGAAATACGGGACTTAACCCAAGAATACAACTTCTTAATTAGGCCAATTCCTTAAAATATATGTGAAGGAACGATTCCCGCAAGCGTCTTTGGCGTCTAGCGAGCTGTGCTGTATTCCATGCTCATGAATGTTACTTACTTGCAAAGCATTGCCCGGCCCCCTCTTACAAACACTGAAGCCGTCACCAATCCCAGTAGCGGGCAGGTCAAATATTTATACAGAGGCAGAACGGGGCGACTTTAAACGCATTCATTCACGTGAGCCTTCGATTAAAACTTTTTTGACCTGTCAACAAGTCATAGCGATAGGTTATTAACCAGCACTAACCTATATAAAACGCTTATCTTTTAATTTCAAAATATAGTAGCTGCAAATTACAAAAAAAAGACCGACATGAGGATTGCGTTTTCTGTGAATTTTCTGATACTTTGTGACATAATTGGACATTATGCTACAAACGGTAAGTGTCCCATATGATCTTTCTGGTGTTATCAGACTTTACTATTATTGTTTTGATGGCTTTCAAATTGACGTTCGTGTTCGTTTAAAAGTAGTGAACCGGTACACAAACAGATGTTTTTTAGGGTAGTGTGTTATCTGTTATTTTACAAAGAGCCTCCCAGTAGGGGTTTTAAGCTGAAACCCTTAAACCTTTCTCATATTCATCTGAAAACGTTTAACCTTTATAGTATATGCATTATAGGGATTGTCACAAATGTGTGCCTGCCGTTTTAAGAGTGGACTTGGCAATTAAAAAAACGTTACTTTCATTCCTTATAAAACATACAATGAAATAAAACAACTTTTAAAATAATCATATAGGATGTATGGATAAATGCTACGGTCTAATTCTAAAATTGTAAAATCCTTCATTGTAAATTGAAACTGATTTACATTTCTATTAAAAGGGACATAACGGTAAATGAAAGCGGTGTGCAATGAGCTGAGTGCAGCCTAACTGCTTAAGAGAGGCTTTTTAAGAGGGATTGACAGTTGTTTGTTAACCTCCATGATGCAAATGTTTGACTTTTACCGGGTGTACGTAAAACGTTCACAGCACTTTGGCAGCCGTATGACGGAGTGTTTATCGCTGTGGCAAAGTGAACAGTGAAATCCCAAGTCATTTGGAGTGTTAATAGGCACCAGATGGGAATATTGTGATCAGATGTTAGCCAAACGTTACATTAATTAAGACAGTTTTCCATTAATTGTCCTTACATGCTGCATGTAGGGATCATGGTGTATGTGTATATGTATTGACTTCATGTAGCGTGTGTATGTCCGTACCGCTCCGTAACGCATGTACCGCTCCGTAACGCATGTGCCGCGTAGGGGGGCTCTGCTGGCTGCAGCAGGGAAGGGAGCCGGCCTGCGCCATGGTGCTGATGAGACAGGTCAGCTTCGAAGAGTGCTGTGGTGGGAGCAGCCTGGACAAAGCGTGGTCCAACAGTAGCGCATCCATTAATGAGGTCAGCCTACTTGGATTGCTGGGTATGGTCCCCTGCAGACCATGCAAAGGTAAGAGCGCATTATATCTCTGCCACGTACAGTATAGTGAACACATTAACATCGTCAATTTAACATTGAAAGGACTTGTTTAAATCCCGCATAGCTCCCGATATACATATGGTTGTACGGCCTGGACCTCCTATAATAAATACTTATTTATTATATATTTAACTTTTTATTATTATTAATCGCGGATTAATGCCTGGGATTCTGGACAATTTCATGTTGATCGGTCTGAAGATGCTTAACTCCTGAAAGCCAAGGGCTCAAGTTCAGTTAAGGATAGTTTGTTTTTTTCCATGGAGTTGTGGGAGCTGTTGCCAATTTGAAACAGGCAAAGTGCTGGATTCTTATAAAACGCAAATCTCTCGAGGGCCGAAAATCTTCCTGTGTTGCAAGTCTAGATTTATAGGTCCCGTCCTGTTCCCCACCAGTGAATCCTAAATTCTGATCTGAATGAGTTGTATCTGTGCCCACAGTCTTCTGCTTTTCTGGTGTTTTATAAAATACTTATTATGCATGGTATAGAGAGGTAGAAAGATCAAACGTATTTGTTTTAGTTATTTCTTCATATAATTTAAGCCCAAACCGTAGTAACATCATTATTTCTAAATGGAAAACAGGAGAGTTTTAAAATATTTTTGTCCATTTCTAAATAAATGTGCTTCCAGTTCTGGATGTTCCTTCAGTCGATGAGGACTTTGGGGAATCAGGAGCCAGAGCTGCCCTCTGGGATCGTTCCATCTTCTCCACATAAAGGGAGCGAGATAAATCTTGCATTCTGCTGGAAACATGTTCTTGGAGAAATTCTTCACAGAAATCTATTCTCTGATGAATGGGCTTCTGAACTGTAAATAATGTCGACCTGGAAATCGATAGCCAAAGTAAAGAATGCAGAACAGCCAGCTTCATCTTCTTCTTCTACCTACTACCCCTCCTGGACCATTGGCTGCTAACAAGGGACCTCCAGGCACCTTCTCTGCTTTCTGCTCCACCGGGCTGCAGGTGTATCCCTGTTCTGTTGGTGTCTGTTTCAAGGTCTCGGCGCCACCTGAACAGCCAGCAACTGCTGTCAAATCCCAGTTTCCCTTGGGGGTGTTGGGAAGGGCGTGGCTTTGGGTTTGAAAGGGTGCGCTGAGTATTCATTGGGTCCTGCTATTCTTCATCCACTTTCCTGGTGGGCTTCATGTTCATTCTGCTCCAACTCTGGTGAAAATAAGTCATATTTTGCCGGGGCGGTCACTATTTGCCAAATACAGTGGTACGTCGGTATACGTCCGCTTTGGAATAAGTCCAACTTGGTATACGTCCTGTTTGGATGCGAAAAATTTTGTTTGGTATACGACCTTTGTTTGGAATATGACTCACGAGCTAGAACTTGTATGGGTCAAAATGAGTCACGACGCCGCACGCTACCCTTGTTTACCTCTCTCGAGACAAGTACACAGTAGTACACAGTGAAGCAGCAAATCAGGACACACACCAACAGAAATGCGCACAAAGACTGACTGAAAACTCAAGGAAGGGCACATGATATTGAGAGACAGGTGTGGGCAATTAACAGCCCATTAAGGACTAGGACTAATGAAGCACAGATAAGGCCTATCGACAGATACCAAAAGGATCAAACATTAAGAGAGACTAGAATAAGGGTAACTGAACATTACTGCAAACAGGGAAGGGAGCAAAACAAAGAATCGTACAGAAATACAGCAAATAATAACTAACACAGGTTACACAAGTAATCATAAATGTTAAATTATAAACGTAAACCCATGACACAAAGAGCCTGGATGACACAGCTGCCCGCTTAGTAGCAACCCAAGGAACAGGAGAACACACTAGGAAGCAAGAAGAAACGTGATGGCCAGCGGCACCTTTTGGCCAAAAGGGGAACTGACATACAGCAGGCGGCTGAACAGGCATACACATGCTCTCATTATCCAGTGTTTCAAAGCAGTGTTGGTACTCAGACTTATGCAGTCCCTTTAACCTACACTTTCCTGTATGTAATAGGCAGTTTTTGAAATGGCCATTTCCTGCCAGTTGGTGTGAGTTAAGAAATGCCACAAGAAGTCCTGAGCATTGTAGCAGACAGTGCTGGCCCTTCAGACGCAAGGAAACAACAGGATATTAGAGAGCTTCCAGCAAAAAACACTTAATCCCTTTTTACTGGATTTTTGGGGATTGTGCCTGGGCAAGACCAATTTACACTTGAGTAATGGTGCTGGAGATCGGTGACTAACCAGAGTAATGTACCCACCATGTGACGTTCACACAGTCTTACAGCCATGCCTTGACCAGGCACTAGATTGTGTTGTTAAATCTGTTCCAGTCCAGTCTCATTCTTCCTCCAGTTCCTGGAAGGCTTTGTTTATGGTGGGGGGCGTTTGTCTGGATGTGTATTCATTTCCGTGATGTGATCTCAGTGGGTGGGTGGGTGTGTGATCTGCAAATACTCACCAGTTAAACTGTGAATCAGCTCTTCCGTGTTCCTCAGAAAATGTAAGAAAGCCCAGTTTCTCACAAATCATACTGTGCTTAAGCTGTAGGGATCATTCCCGCAATGGAAACTACTGACGTTATCAAAACACTTTTATGCCGCCTTTCGAGGGAAGGAGAATGACGAGCTCCTGGCCGTTCCTGACATGCGATTTTCACAGAGACGTGCGAGGGGGTGAACTGCGGCCCGGCGAAGGTGTGCCAAATGAAGGGGGGCCGGCCCCAGTGCACGTGCTCGCCGGACTGTACCAACATGACCCGGGGGGAGCCCGTGTGCGGCAGCGACAGCAGCACCTACCGGGACGAGTGCGCCCTGCTGCTGGCCCGGTGCCAGGGCCAGCCGGACCTGGAGGTCATGTACCAGGGCGAGTGTAAGAGTAAGCAGAGCTTTCTGGAAGTCATGGCGTCTTCAAAAGCATTTACTGGCAAACAAAGTATTCAAGCAAAATATGGCTAGACATAAAGGGTGAGCTTCTATAATCATAATAATAATAATAATAATAATCAGCATAATCACCATGATCCACCCATCCATTTTCGAACCGCTCCAGTACGGAGGAGTGGGGGCACACCCTGGTGGGTTGCCAGCGTGCCACGGGGGCACACACCCTCCCCATCAAACCCTTTAGGCAAATTAGAGATGCTAGTTAGCTGGATTACAGGAGGACTGTCACCCAGTATTATTACTAACCATCCATCAAATTTGCACCGTTTATCATGCTCTGAGTTGCAGGAGACTTGAGGCCTGTCGATCAGCTAGATAACTTGTTGGATTTAAGGTGCCCCAGTTTAAATGGACCCAGACTACCTTAAATCAGTCTTTCAAAAGTTGTTTTGCTAACCCAAATATCTGGCTTTGTGATACAGCCTCGTGGAGCCTACTGAATACTATTATTATTATTATTATTATTGATAATGATTTGTTGATTGTTAGTTTACTGGTTGCTGTTGTTGTTCTTACAATAAGAAGGCAATTTGACTGAAAACCCGACGTATTTAAGGAGGAATGGAGGAGTAACAAATGTTTCTGCCCCCCCCCCCCCCAGAGGACTGCTCCAAGGTTGTGTGCCCAGGCACTCACACCTGTGTCACAGACCAGACAGAGAGTGCCCACTGTGTCACGTGCCGCACTGCCCTCTGCCCATTGCCCCTGATCACAGAGCAGTCCATCTGTGGCAACAACAACATCACCTATGCCAGCGCCTGCCACCTGCGCCGGGCCACCTGCTTCCGTGGGCGCTCCATTGGCGTTCGTCACTATGGCCCATGTTCGGGTAAGATGGGGACATCCCCCCCCCCTTGTTAACTGCATCAGTGAGGTCATCACCACGTCGGTGAGGTCATCACCGGCTGCTCTCATTGGACGCTGTCCTGTCTCCCACAGGTATCCCTCTTAAACGTGCTGTGGAAAATGCCCTGTAGCACTGGTTGTTCCGCTTCTCTGGATTCCCTGCGATTGACGTAGTACAGACTGCCTGGATATTTTCCCGTTTCTATAAACAAAGAAATCAACCACTCCTTGTTCAGCGACTACCTCAGTTTGTGACCATTCGCAAGTACGACAGTAATCAAAGATTCATTTTCTGACCAATGTGCACATATTCGACCAAATTTCCTGTGCCTGACAATTATGAATGCCGGGGTCAGAGAGGTCTTTGACATAGAATGTTCTGAATGTTCAAAGGATGAAAGAAATTGAGAACAGAAGGCTGAAGTAATGTTTTGAGCATGGTCGTAGTCACACCTAAGCTACCGTGATTTTAACTCTGTGACTATTTCGCTTAAAGACTTGGGCATTGGAAAGGAATTCGGTCACTAAACCAGGAGTGGTTATATAAACCAACATATACTTCTCTTCGGAACAGTAAGATCTCGGTTACACTTTATTTGACAGGGAATAAATTTTTAGTAATAACTCAGTTACTACTGAAGTACAAAGCATAAATATAGCAGCTACTTGAGATAAAAGATGTGTCATGGTTCATTAATGATGAACAAACATGAGATCAATATGTCACGTGTTATTCATTACTTGTTTCTTCAGTAGTTCACAAAGGTTTACAGAATTAACAGATAAAGTAACAAATACAGTAATTGCTTGAGATAAAACATGCATCATGTTTCATTAATGATGAATTATCATGAGATCAGTATGTAACTTCATTTCTGGGTAATTAATACACGATTAATGGTATGACACTATATTATTTGTGCCTTGTCAAGTAAAGTGTTACCAATATCTTTACTCGATTTCCCTAGTAAAGAAGGGGGTGTGGAAATTTCATTTTTTGAAAGCTATCTGATCAAAATGATGAGATTATTGAAGAGTAAACATGTAAATGATGGTAAATATCCATCCATCTTCCAACCCACTTATCCTACTGGGTTGTGGGGGGTCCAGAGCCTATCCCAGAAGCAATGGGCATGAGGCAGGGAACAACCTTGGATGGGGGGCCAGCCCATTGCAGGGCACACTCACACATGCAATTTAGTAACTCCAATTAGTCTCAGCATGTCTTTGGACTGTGGGGGGAAACTGGAGTGCCTGGAGGAAACCCCATGACGACACGGGAAGAACATGCAAACTCCACACACATGTAACCCAGGCGGAGACTCGAACCCAGGTCCCAAAGGTGTGAGGCAACAGTGCTAACCACTGCACCACCATGCCGCCCCCTGATGGTAAATATGTAACCTGTAAATAAAATACCTCCTATTTTTATAAAACACAAGGTTAGCAGTCTCTGGATAACTAAACACTCAGTGGACTGTTATTTCTTCATTAAAATGTCCAGAGATTTTTTTTTATTGCAGATTTATTTTCGTTATAATTGATAAAATTACAACAGCAATATCTGATTGTGTTTAGATCTGTTGTAAATCTAACTCTGCTTGCTTGTAAACTTGCTTGTTAATAGAGGTATATTGTATTGTGACAAGTAATTATTTTTATATTGCCCTTTAATTACACATTACAACGAAGTCTGTCTGTGTCGTCTTGTTCAGTTCAGCATTACTCATTTTCCTGTTGACATTTTTGATCTTTTTATTTTTTTGAGAACCTGGATCAATTATGTTGTTCTTTGTTGCATTTTCCACCCTGGTAGTGATTTGAGAACCAGATTGTTCCATATGTACCAGACCACAGAGCTGGGTTTACAGCACATAGAACACAGGACCTGTCCTTACAGTAACTGGAATAGTGTCATGGCTGAACGAGACCTCAGCTTTAACATGACTGAATACAGAATGCAGTACCTCATGGGAAAACTTCTTTGCGCAATTTCACTTTGAATCTCCATATTTTTTTAAGAATCTGCATTGTTAAATCCTGTTTTAATCATGGTTCTGCTGGCAGAAGGCTACTCTGAGCAGCGGGCTGCTTCCAGGCTCAAAAATCCTAAGACCACAGTACACAAAAACAATGTGAAACAGGAGACACTGGGAATGACAAAAACCAGACAGCTAGAGGGAGGAAGCCAATTGCTAATGCCAGAGACGACCGTCAACTTATCCAACAGTGCCTCATGAATCGGAGGGTGACATCAAGTGCCCTTCAAAAGGAATGGGAAAGATTAAGTGCAGGTGTGAAGTGCACTGCTAGGACAGTTCGTATCAGGCTCCTGGAAGCAGGACTGAAGACCCATAAAGCAAAAGGAAGAAGCCCTTCATCAGCGAGATACAGGGAAGAACCAGGCTGGAGTTTACAAAAAAAATGTAGATTTTACACAGACGCATACCCATAAATTGAGAATTGAGTAAAGATTTTGCTACGGTCTCTTAATATTTTCCAGAGTCGTATATGATCAAACTAGACTCCGCCTCTTGAAAGGGGGTGTGACATGAAGGGCATTCTAGGCCTCGAGGAGAAGCGCTGCTGACGTCTAACAAACAGCTCGCCGCCCGGCCCCCACGGGATCCGGCCTGCAAACGGGCATGCGGCTGTCCATAGCCACGGGGAGGTGGCCCCTCGATTGCCGTGGGAAGAAGCCATGCTCGAGGGGGGGGGGGTGGGCTGCAGGGGAGGTGCTGTTCTGACTTGGATCTGTCGGCTCGTATGGAATATTCCTGCCTTGTTTTCATCTGCTTGAAAGGCTGTAGAAGCATCTGATTTAGCTTCAGGTCCAGTCTTTTAAACTCAGACCCAAATGCTGCTCTTAAACAATAAAAAGTGCAAAAGAAAAACAAAAAAACAGTAAAAATCGTGTCAAGATTTCTTCTCCCTTGTTTTTGTAAATCTGCAAAAAAAAAATAAAGTGGAATACGATGCCATCCAACTTCAGCCATTAAAGTTTACAATACTGATACGAGAATATGTGATCTGATCATTCAAAAACAAAGTGATTATTTCAATACGGCTTATGGAAACGGCAGTTAAAGTTCAATAATGCTTCTGTGTATACTATATTTCTGGTTGATTGCTCAAATATGACATAAGTCTATAACTTTATATTGTGTGTAGTGTATACAATGAGGCAATCAAGACAGGAGCATCAGGATTTTCAAGTAAAGCCTCTGGATTCAATGCTAAATACCTTGCAAACACATACCACGACTGATTTACCGGCTTTGTAATATACAGGCTATGCAGAGCGTCGGTGAAAGGCTTCCGCATGTTCACGGCCCCTGAGGGTGTGAAAACGGCTGTAATTATAGAACGAGCGAATGTGTGACATCATGCAGTAACCCAAAGTCGCGTTCTGCCCGAGGGGGCGTGGCCCACGTCACGTGACCACAGTGAAACCCATGTTTCTGTGGGCAGTACAGTTTCTGTACCCAATGCTTCAGTGACTCCACACTGCCGGCTGACTCACTGACCACTGCATTCCTTCATCGCTGTCATATCAAACGCTGTTATATACGTGCAGATGATGCACTAGTCATAATCATTTCCCCACCGCGCCCCAGATGGCCTCACAAAGCCGTGCGTCATCCCTTCTCCTACCAGATGATGACCTTCAGCAAAGCCTGCGTTCATCTGGCAAGGTCGTCTTCCCGATGAGAGCCGCCTCCGCTCCGATGACGCTTCCCATCCGTATTGAGAAGCTGCTCCTGAATCTGAGAACATCTTTTTTATGAGAAAACTCTCATAAAAGCTTTGGGAAGAATTGTGGCCTGTAGTGTACCCTGCATCACACTCTAACCTGGGACATACTGATCGAACAGAGAACAAATATGCCGAAAATCCTGAATTCACATGCTGCCGAGGGAAGGAGAGACTAACTTGTGCCACAAAGATGAAGGACTGCGGGGACGATGTTTTCATGGAAAACCATCTGCCTGCTCCTGTCCAGGTGACATCTGTCTGGCGAAAACTCCAAAGGCCCTTTGCAGATTAATGGGTTGCGCAGAGTGCAGCTGTCATCGCTGGAATGGATTAATAACTATATTCCAATCCACTTCCAGCAGATTAATAAACCCAGGACTGCAGGGGACCTGGGCTTCACATACAGCTGGGTTAGGCGATATGGAAAACAGTTTATCGCGACGATAGCGGAGGCAGAAATTATAAAGTAAAAATCAGGTGGGCCAGTCCCATAACAATTTGTTTGGAGATAAAATCACTCTACACTCAACTACATTTTAAAATCAGTTTTTAAATGACCTGTGGCATTACTAAGGCTAAACGAACAGAGAGAAAGAAAAATCTATTTGCCTCTCAACAACACTTTTCCTCTCCCTGATCTAACCACACACACACATACCTGTCAGACACAATCGCTTTATCGTACTGTATCACTCGCCGTAATGCTGGGGGGGGGGGTCAGATCCTTCTGGTTGGGTCCAGGACCACTTGTGCTGTTGCAGAACTATCACAATCATGTTTTTCATATCACTTGATATTGATCATTATCGCAATAAAATTGAAGTCATTATGTCAAGGCTCTGTTTCTGCTTAAAATTCCCAACACAGGAAAAAGGCCCATATGTGTGTGTGTGTGTTTTCAGCTTGGAAGTTGCAAGACTAAGTGTTGATGTGTCACTTGAAGAGCTTGCACTCTGTATGTTGTACTGGATGATACTTCAAGCATTTTTACCTTATTTATCCACAATATCTCTGTTTCACGAGGATGCTGTGACTGCTGAGCTGTCGCTTTCTTCACTGACACTCGCAGTTTCCTCTGACTCATCGATTCTATCAACCTTCCCGTGTTTTATGTCCCAATTCAGGGGCTGAATCCTTCAGTGGACACTGTGTCCTTCGCAGGTCAAAAGAAAAACCCACTCAGTGAATCTTGGGCCGCGAAGGATCCATCAGGTTTGAAATCACTTATATCACCCTTTTTCCCCATTCTGGTGTTTGGGTGACCATTAGTTTTCCACATAAAACAGACCACACTTCAGGTCTCTGGTGTATGCTGATTGGCTGATTAAGTGGCTGTAACCCCCGGCACCCTGCCAATCAGTGATGTGGGAGGTACGCCATGTAGTCACAGCAACCAATCAGAGCAGTCACATTAAATTCAGACTGCAGTGTGCGGCTTCCTGAGCTTCCTGTTTATGTAAGAGAGACCAGCCATGAACGGTCGTGTTTTAATGAATGTCAGACCTAATATAATACATCTGATGGCTTGTGCATTGACGACATTTCCGCAGCCGCTTTGGTTTTAAAAGCTTTAATGAAGCTCAGTGATGTTCCCACTCATAAAAATGCTTTACTGCGTATGCAGCTGCAGCTTCCAAAACGCAGCTTCTGGCTCCCCTGAAGACCTGTACGTGACAAGCAAACACAAAATGCCCTGCTGTCACCTTCTTAAATACACTATCCAACTATAAGAATCCCTAATGATGCATTTTTCAGGAAACGACTGCGAATTGCACAAATATTTTGTTTTGAAGATAAACACGAGTGTCTAGCTCAACACCTTGAACTAACTAATTATCTTGGAGCATGTTGGGATGGGTAATTCATAAAACGCAATCAGGGCAAGACCAAAATGACTTCAAGAAGAAAAAAATGTTACCAACTTTATACTAGTCAGCAGTGTGAAGTTTTCCATGACGCATTTCCAGGGTCATTAATGGCGTGTC